GTCCATGGGACTTTAAGGAAGGGAGTGTGTGCATCGGTATGTGTGCGCATGATGTGATGACAGGGGCATGAGGATGTTGGTGTCCTTGTAAGTGTGTGTCCTTTGGTGTGAGCGCTTCCTAGGGTCCATACAAAGGTGCCGTTGTTGGTCCGGGTGTGCAGTGTGTGTGATGCTGAGGATGCTTCTGTGTTTGACTTTTCTCAGCGACGTTCGTATGTGCGAATCCTATGGTGATGGCATGACCTATGGGCGTGTCTTTCTGTGTGTGTGATTTTGTTTTTGTTTGAGAAGGAGTGGTCTTTGCATCTCCGTGTGCACATCCCATTTTGGTTCAGTTGGACTGAGTGACTAGGATTTTGTATGTGTTCATGAGGCCATTTCTCCCTGTTTCTTTGTGGAGCTGTGTCATTGTGGGGAGAGGAGCCATGATGTCACTGTGCTGCATTGTGTCTTGAAGGGTGGTGCGTGTCCTGGCATCTGGGTAGCTTGGCGATTGTAACTGCAGGAGCAGCCGTGGATGTGAACGTGTGCAGTTCCTTGCATGTGAATGTGGCAGGGTTGGGTTGCATATGTGACATCTCAAGGCCTGTCAGTCCCTGTGAGTGTGTGATTCCCTGGGGGCTGAGGGCTAGTGGGCATCAAGGGCACTTGGAGCACATCCTCCTCTAACTCTTCAGGACGCTCTGCGTCAAGGATAGAGGATTTTTAAAATGATTAAATATTTTATATATATATATATGACGTAATAGATTTAACATATATGTACGATGTAAGGAATAATGATAAAATAACCCCCATGTATACCCGCCACTCAATTTGACCACCAGTGGGAAGCCCCCGGGCGCCCCTCCGCACAGCAGCTCCTGTCCTCCATAATCATTATCCTGTCTTTTCTGTTCCTTGATCCTTTACTTTTTTTGTAGCTTGTCACATATCTGTGTATCTCTAAACAATATCTTGTTTAGTTTTTCCTCGCAGAAATGGACTCAAACTGGGCATCTGGCTCCTGGTGGTCACTAGGGGTCACTAGGAAGTCATCAGGCTGTCTGGTGGTCTCGGGGAATCTGCAGTGGAATTCTGCAACTTGCGTGGGGTTTTTTGCTCTCCTTTGGCTGTGAGAGTCGTCTACACTGAAGTGTGTGGCTGTAATTCACTTATTTTTATTGCTGCATCATGTCATATCCTATGAGTATATCATGAGTATATGAGTAGATCATGGTTTGTAGATGCCTTCTCAATACGTCCATAGATATTTGGATTATTTCCAGGCTTTTCTTTCTTTTTTTCCTTCTGTCCACTTTTATGCTATTGCAAACAGTGCTGCTGTAATTTTCCCTGAACTGTGTCCAGTAGTATATGTACACCAGCTACTCGGGGGTATAACACCCCAGGAGTGGGTCATAAAATGTCTTTTTAGACATTGCCGAATTGTTCTTCAAAGTTATTTTGGCAATTGAATTCCCACCAGCAATATATGAGAGTTTTAATTTTTTCCACATCCATGTCAACACTGGACATTATTAGACTTTCTGATTTTTGGCGATCTTCTGGATGTATAATGCATACTATCTCACTGGCATTTTAATTTGCATTTCCCTGATTACTAATGAGGTTCACTATTTTTTGTTCGTTTAGTAACTGTTTTTGTTTCCTTTTTTGTGAACCACTTGCTCATCAGTTTTGCCCATTTTTGTATCAGTTTGGTTTTTCCTTACTGCTTTCTAGGCCTTCTTCGTGTGTTGGTTACTAATCCGTCCCTGACTACTTGTATTGCAGGATCTTCAACTCTGATTTTACTTTTCATTCTTTTTATGGTGTCTTGGGATAAAAAGAAAGTCTTAATTGTAATGTAGTCAAATTTATTTATCTTTTCCTTTCCATTGTTCCCAAATTTGGCTCGCTTGTTCCTGCAAGATTATTGCAGGAGTCGATCTTGTTCCCCTGCTCTGCAGTGCCCCCTCTGTCATGTGGCAAAAGCCAGTATGCGTGGATCTGTTTCTAAGCTCTGTTCAATCCTATTGCTTCCTTCTGCTGTGTGGAGTCTGCTGTTTAACTTGCCCGTTTAATTTTTAATTCTATTTAAATTATATTTCTAGATGTTCTCTATGTTTCTTTTTCAAATCTTCATGGTCATTTTTATGGTCTTTTGTTCCTTGCTCACACTTTTGATATCCTGTTATTTCTTTAAACTTACTGAAATCATTTCAAAACTGTCTGAACTGAGAATTAGTCACGGGATAATTCATTCTACAGATAGACTTGCACACGTGCCAAGTGGCACACGAACAAGGTTATCCATTCCGACATTATTTATAAGAATAGCAAAAGATTGGAAGCACCCTAAATGTTCATCAGTTGAAGACTGGTTAAATAAACCGTTGCACAACCATACAAAAGGGATTCAATGCCCAAGAAAGAAAGAAAAAGGGAGAGAGAAAGGATGCTGTTAACGTACTGAGCTAGATATAGATTCCAAAAAGCAAGCTGCAAAACAGTCTGCTACCTTTTGGGTAAAAGAAGTGGACAATAGGAACCTATAAAATGCGAATATAGGTTCCTATTGCCCACAAAGTTAATATAGAAAAATCTATAGCTGTCTTGGGCATCTCCAGAGGCCTTAGGGGTGTCTGGGGATATTTGAGGGGCCACGGTGCCTTTAGTGGCATCTGAGGATGTTTGATGAGGTCCACGGATCCCCCCGGGTTGCGGGTCCCTGGCTGGCCTGACGGATGTTGACGACACCTTTCTCCCCACCTCATCTTCCCGCAGGAGTCCCGCAGCCTGGGCGCAGCCTCGCCGCCCATGGCTGAGGCTGGCGCTCCCCGCCGCTTCCGGCGGGCGGTGCCCCGGGGAGAGGCGGCGGGGGCCGTGCAGGAGCTGGCGCGGGCGCTGGCGCACCTGCTGGAGGCCGAAAGGCAGGAGCGGGCGCGGGCGGAGGCGCAGGAGGCCGAGGATCAGCAGGCGCGCGTCCTGGCGCAGCTGCTGCGCGTCTGGAGCACACCGCGCACCAGCGACGCGGCTCCGGGCCTGGAGGACGACCCCGACGCGCCCGCGGCGCAGCTCGCCCGCGCCCTGCTCCGCGCCCGCCTCGACCCTGCCGCCCTCGCGGCCCAACTGGTCCCCGCTCCTGTCCCAGCCGCGGCGCTCAGACCCCGGCCTCCGGTCTACGACGACGGCCCCACGGGCCCCGACGCCGAGGACGCTGGCGACGAGACGCCCGACGTGGACCCCGAGCTCCTGAGGTACCCGGGCGAGGGGTGGGCAGGGGGAGGGCGCCTGCATCCAGGGAAGAGGAGGGCGAGGGGCTGCGGGGGCCTGCTTCGCCAGGTGGAGGTGCGAACACCTAGGTCCTGGGACCCTAGCGGGGAATGAGGTCCTGGACCCTGGGTGTGGGGGCAGAGATTCCTGGCTGAGGGGACAGAGGAGGACGTGGACTCTCGGTCCCGGGGAGGAGGCTAGGATGCCCGATTTCTGGGGAGAGGAGTGGGAGGCGAAGAAACTACAGTTTCTATAGGCGGGGATGGGATGGGAGGCGGGGACTTCTGTCTCCTGACGGCAAGGAGTTGGGGACGCCTGGGTGGGGAGGAGGCTGGAGATGGCCAGGTCCCCAGGCAGTATGGGGTTGCAGGGCCATCTGGGTCCTAGGGCCCGGGCGCTGATTCGCGGACACATCCTCTCCGCATTCCGCTCTGGCTCCCCCGCAGGTACTTGTTGGGGCGGATCCTTGCGGGAAGCGCGGACTCCGAGGCCGTGGCTGCCCCGCGCCGCCTCCGCCGCGCCGCGGACCAGGATTTAGGCCCTGAGGTGCCCCCTGAAGGCGTGCTGGGGGCCCTGCTGCGCGTGAAGCGTCTGGAGACCCCCGCGCCCCAGGCGCCGGCGCGCCGCATTTTGCCGCCTTGAGCACCGCCTGTATCCTACGCGCCCAGGACCACCCCTCCCCCGACACCCCGACTGCTCCCCGCCAGCCGCAGTTGCTGCCCTTGAACCCCAAGATCCCCACCCCTGGCCCCACAATAAATACGATCTGAAGCAGCTATGTGCTTGTCTGTGTGAGTGGCAGTTTCTAGGGAGCTAATGGCTTGGGTGGTGATGGCCACCCTCAGAGAAGGGCAGAGGGACCCCTGCTCTGGGCCCCTCACTTTAGAGACTCCCCCCCCCCCGCCAGTCTATGCCTCTCCTCATTGTCCGTATAGACAATGGCAGTGCCCACCCAGATCCTGTGCCCCACTTTTGGGTGGGCCTCACTGGGGTGTGGGGAGCCCAGAAGGCTTTGAGGCCACTTTTCAAGACCTGCAGCAGCATCTTCCGAGGGTGCCTCCTCCTGAGGACCAAGGGGTGGCTGTTTGTGAGGCATGCGAGTAGAGCTTGGGCTGAGCTGGCTGGCACGGGACACACGAGCGCCTCTTAATATCGGGAGGGGCTGCGGGCCGGGGGGTCAGCCTTCTCAATGCCCTCATATCATGGTATGGAAAGCTGGAGTCCGGAACTTAGAACCTGGGCCTTCAGTCATTAAGAAAATGTACTGGTCAAGGTAGGAGGCTAGGATGTATTTTGTTTACGTTTGTTAGCTGGATTTGTAAGGTTTCAACATTTAGTTACATAGTGTAGAGGCTGCTCTAGCTGCACTCTTGCCCCAGCCCTGAAGATACTGGAAGTCGGTGAGGTGGTAGCTGGTTTGTGGTCATGGCCTTTGCGCTGGCTATTCCCTTCGCCCCCAGTTATCGACAAGCTTTTGCACAAATGTTACCTACTCAGTAAGGCTTTCTTTGACCTCCCCGTCACTCTTTATTCCTTCCCCTGCCTTTAATACATAGCCTTACGTCATTCCTACAAGGGGAGAGGTTTTTAAGTGTCTTGTTTGCCTCTATATCCTTTGCACCCAAAGCAGAGCCTGGCACACAGTGGGCCTCCCCCCATTTCTTGAATGAAAGAATTCCCACAATTCAAGTAACATTCTCCCCAGTCTCACTCCCACCCACAGAACACTGCATGGAGGCAGCTTTCAAACCTAAGAACACAATTTATTTGATTTTGCACAAAATCTCTCAATTTGACATAACATAACCAACACTACACCCCACATTGCCAAAAAGCCCCTCACCGAATGAAAACCTTCCTAAGAGGGATCCCTTTATCCCAGTACACCACAGTGTCCCACACAGCTAGTTGTGCAACAGGTCTCACGTGAAGCAACCACCACCTTGGCCTAGGGGGGGGGGGGTCCACTTTTCTTGACCAGGACCCTCAGGCCACGCTGCAGCCACAGCGGCATGTGGCCTTCCGGTGCCGGCCCTTAGCCCCCCGGGGCCGGGCCGCAGCCTCCTTCGCCATGGCCTCCCGGACCCTTTGGATCTCATGGATGAGCAGGGAAAAGGCCTCCTCTACACCTTGCCGTGTCTTGGCTGAGGTCTCCACAAAGGGGGCCCCCCAGCTCTTCGCGAGGGCTACAGCGGCGGCGTGAGCATCTCCGGTGCTGGTGACGAGGTCACACTTGTTGCCCACAAGGACGAGGGGCTGGGTGTGGCGAGGGCCCCAGGTGGCCCATATCTGCTGCAGCTGGGCCAGAGACGAAGGGTCATCGAGGGCAAAGACCCCCAGCACACCATCCCCAATAGCCAGGCACTGGTCACGCAGGGCCCTATGAGTGGCCTGCCCTGCCGTGTCCAGCACATTCAGAATGCAGCCTCCATGGCCGAGGGCCACCTCCTTCCAGTAGGAATCCTGGATCGTGGGGTCGTGGTCTTCTACGAAGCACTGGTGGTTCAGCTGGATGGTCAGCGCACTCTTGCCCACGCCACTCGCGCCCACCACCACCGCCTTGTACTCGGGCAGCTGCTTCTCAGCACCCCTGGGGGTGCCCTGAGCCGTGGAGCTCTCCTCCTGGGAGCTAGGGCTCCACGTGCCCAGGCCCAGATCAACCGTGCTAGGATTTGTTGGCAGCGCCATGGCCCCGGCAGGCAGCTCAGGGAAGAGATGGAGACAGCAGACCCTGCACGGGGAGGAAGAGAAGAAAGACAACGGGGGGTGGGGAAGGGGGGAGATTAGGCAAGACCATTTGGGGGCAAGGGGACAGCTCGGTGTCATTGAATCAACACTTATTGAGTGCCTAGTGTGTGCTCATCACCTTCTGATATGCTATCTATGTTATTTATGTTGTTTATTCTCTCTCTCTCTCATTCCCTTCTGCGACATAAAGTCTGTGAAAGAAGGATTTTTAAACAGCTTTATTGAGATATAATTTATATACCATAAAGTTAGCCTAGTTAAAGTGTACAATTCAATTTTCGTTAGCATATTTCATGGAGTTGTGCAACCATCACCATAATCTAATTTTAGAGCATTTTCATCACCCCAAAAGAACCCCGCTGCCCATTAGCGGTCCCTCCACATTCTGGAGGGAGGGCAGGGAATCCGTCGGTTTCCATTTCGGATTGTGTCTCCATTGAACCCCAGCCCGGCACGGGGCCTGCCACAAATTGCATGCTGAGCGACATTCCTGCCCCCAGGGAGCTTATGTTCTAAAAGGGGGAGACAACAAACCAAATAAATAAGCAAATTGAGGTCTGTTAGCCATTACCATTAGAATCTAGTCTTTATTACTTACTGAACATACAGCTATTGAGAACTTATTGTGTGGCAAGGACAAAGACGTGGGGAAAGAAGTGGATAACAAACTCCGGCCCTCCTGGACAGGACATTCTAGTCAGGAAGACAGACAACAACACGGATAAATCAGTAAAGTATCTTTCCCCAATAGGTGGTAAGCACGCAGAAGGTGCTTTGTTAATGTTGGGCATTTTTATTATAATTTAATTTTCATTCAACTTGAGAATCTTCCTGCATGCCAGGCATTGTGATGAGTGTAGGGATGGGGGGGTGAGGAGTGGGGGGGGCGGGGGTGGGAGGTGTGGGGGTGAGGATACGGCAGTGAACAAAACAGACTGAAGTCCCTGCCCTTGGGGGGATTAGATTCTGGAAGTAAGAGATAATAAACAAGATAAGCAAGTAAATGATCATGCAGTTAAAGAGGATGGGCACACAGCAGGTGCTCAGTGTGAGCTATTAATAGAAAATCACCATTAATTCATTCAATACACATCCCGGTCCTAGTTCAGTGTGTGGTCTCAGGAAATGCATCATAATGGCTGCTGCCACAGGTCTCTCTGGCAACCCGGGAGCAGAGGCAGTTGGGGGGCAGATGGTGGGTTTGAGGTGTCCATGGGGGCTTCTGTTGAGTTGGGATATGGAGGTTGGGGTGGGGGTGGGGGCAAGGTCCCAGATGGGGATCCAGTTATGGGACCCTCTGCCCAGAGAAGTCCCTGAAAATAGTTATGGGATGTGCTCGCCCAGAAAGAAGGGGGCCATGATGAGGAGAGAGGTAAGCAGAGGACAGAGCCCTGGGGGTCCCCAAGCGCTTGGGGGACAGAAAGAGGGAGAAGACCTAGCTGCGCGGACAGAGTGAGGGGAGGGGGTGAGGACGGAAGAGGCGAGGACCACTGCAGCAGCCCGGGGCAGCGATGGCGGGGGACACGAGGGGAGGACGGGCTCCCGCCTTCTCTGAGGGTGGAACTAAGTGGCGGGGTCCGCTGAGAGTCAGAGGCCGGGCAGGGCGAGGCCGACCCCTCAGTTCGGGGCCCGGGCCGCCAGAAACCTGCAGGCGCCGCCTGAGGCAGGGGACGTGCGAGAAGCGCACTTCCCTCTCGGCGAAGGTCGCCGCGACGATGCTGAGGCCGTGAGAGCGGCCGCGGGCTCAGCACGGCCGGAGCCGCTCACCGCCCCCGGCCCGCCGACGCCCGGCGAGCGCGGCTGCCCAGCGCGGCCACCCGCCGACGGGAGCAGCAGGCCACAGCCCGTCGGAGCTGCCCGAGACGCTCGGCCCTCGGCTCAGGGCGCTCGGAGCCACTTGCCGTGCCAGCGCTACGAGAGTGCCATCAGAGGACCCTCGGGCCCCCGCGACCCCCCAACCACTGCCCCCGGCCCGCCTTCGGGCGGCCCCCACCAAAAGGGAGAGCCGGCGACCCCGCGCCCTCGCGCTGGCGCGGCCCGCCTCGCCGGGCCACACTTGCTTGGGCTGCGCCAGGTGAGGCGCGGAGCTCGGGCCGGCGAGTGGCCCGAGTCTCACCCAACAGCGTGCCCGCTCCGTCTGAACTCTCTCGCCCGGTCCCCCTGCTGCGGAGGGCGCGGCGGGGAAGGGACGACCCCAACCCCAAGTCGTGGTCCCGCGGTCCCGCTGCCCGCCCGGCGCGGGTACCCTCACCCAGCTCGGTCTCCACAAAGCCGCCGAGTGAGGGGCTGGCGGGCCCCTGAGAAGGGGAGGAGGCAGGGGAAGGACCCCTCACAGCCCACCTCGGCCGCGCCCCCTCAGCCCTCCGGGGAAAGCTCTCCCAGGTGCGGCTGGGGCTGGGGGCCCGGGAGGCCCGGCTCACCTCTGTCCCGGGAGAGGCAGTTGCGCTGGGACCCGAACCCGCCGCAGCTCTGACAGGACCGACCCGGAGGAGATGCTCCCACCCTGGCCCAGCGCGGGGGGGAGGGGGAGGGGGAGGGAGGACGCATGCGCACGGAGGCCTGCCCTCAAGCCCCTCGGCGCACCCCCTCCTCCCGGGCCCCCGCCCGCCGGCGGGGTGAGCGCAGGGTCACGCCCAGCCGGCAAGTGCGCAGGAAGGAGGTCTTCTGGGGGTGCACTGCACGCGGCCAGACCTCGCTGTGTGCCCCTGAGTCCTGCTGCACCCTTACCTTGCCCCCATCTGGGATGTGACTGAGTGTTGTTAGTGTGTGGAGGGTGTCAGATTTTTGACCTGAGTGGCCAGGCTTTTGGAAATGTTTTGTGAAGGCCTCTTTGAAGCCACGGAGCCTGTGCTGCCTCAAGCAGGCCTTTTGGTCGCCTGGGAGAGGGTTCTCTCCGGTCCTGGAGGGAAAGAGTTGCAGGAGAAGGGTTATTCTGCAGGGTAGTAAGAACCTGATTCGAGGTGGATGTGTGTCAAAGTCAAACATTTCCCAGACTCCCTTGCAGCTATGGCAGTCATGTGACACAGTTGGACCAATGAGCTGTAAGCAGGAGTTATTGGGCGGGGCATCCAAAATGCTCCTTAAAAGGGGGATGACTGAGCTGGCTGCTTCCCTTCCCCACACGCCTTCTTGACTGGGCAGGGCTCTGGTGGTCATCTTGGGGTCAGAAGGTGGGCTTGAATAAAAGTGTAGGAAACCTCAGCCCTGACTCCTTTGAGTGGCCAAAGAAATTCTCATTAGGTGGGAGAATTAAAACCCTCAAATGAGCCTCCAATTCCCCAGCCCTTGTCAATGGTAGGCACTCCTTCCCCCAGGAAGCTACCTAGGAGGACCAAATCTAAGTATGTTAAACCTGGACCTCCCCCACTGCCCCAATCAGGACAAAAGACAGGTGGCAAGACCAAGCTCTGGTGAGGATGCTTTCTGACAGTTTTGCCTTCTCAGCCCAGGGTGCAGCTGGGACCAGCTGTGAGGCTCCTATTTCTATAGCAGGCACTCATTTTCTCATGGATTCCACCTTCTAATCTGTAGTGGAGCCAGTCAAGCTGCTTGCTCTATTTCCAGTTAGTTTTTTGAGCACTGATGTGCAGGGGGTTGACCTGATAAAGACCCATATCCTTGTCCCTTCATCACTCATCAGCCCTGTTGGCCAGGGGTATGGGGTTCCCCACCCACTCAAAGTTAGAAGGCTTTCTCCAGGTTTTCTAACAGCTTGTACTTTATTACATATGCAACCCCGCCATACCTGCCAGTTGACCCCCCCCTCCCCTCTCTCCAAAGTACCTCCTGGGGCCACTGAGCTGCCCCCCTGTCCTTCTGGGGCAGAGTAGATAGAGTCCCTTGAGCAGGCTGTGGGCAGGGGTAGATCCACAATTGATTATCACAGTCCTCTTATAAGTATTTATACTTAAATCAGCACCCTTGGGGAGTTGTAAAGGGTCCCAGGATGGGATGGAGTGAAGCTGCCCCTCATCCACGGTACAGCTTGGATGAACTAAGGCCGGTCTATCCTGGGCCTCAGAAGGTGGAGAAGAGGAGCACGTCCTGGGATTTAGTGTGAGTGGGGCATGCCCTCCCCAAACTTGTTCTGGTGGGCGACGTTCTTCGCATCTAGGAGAGCCTGAGGAGGAGGCAAGAGAGGCTAGGTAAGAGACAGTGAGGACACCCCTACCTCGGCCAAGAGGCTGCCCTCACTCCAGCCCTCAACCACCCTGTCTCCTGGACTACCCCACCCACATGCAGAAGGGTCTCCACTCTCCCCTTACCCAATCACAGAAGGTATCTGTGCATGGGGGGTGTGAGTGTGCACACATTAGAGGGTCTGCCCAGGGTCTACCTGGTGGTGGACATAAGCCTGACAGTAGTAACACCAGGTAGACAGGTCGACGTAGCTGAGGACCAGAGGGTGTCCTGAGCCTTCATGGTGTTGGAGCATATGGGCATTGATGTAACGACCACAGTAGACCTGAGGTGGGGGAACGAGTGTCGGATAGGGATCAGCACCTACCTGCAGTTTACTCCTGGGCCAACCTCCACCCCATCCCCTTCCTCTGCTGCATACCTGATGGCAAGACAGACACACCCAGTTCTCCTGGAGTGCTCCACAGTCCTGACAAGGTTGGGTCACGTCCAGGCCTGTGTCAGGTACGGGGCTTACTGCCACCAAATGAGGACACCAGGGCAGTGGTGTCACGGCATAAAACATGGCCTGGGGTGGGTGAAACTGAGTAAGCTGGGGACTCCAACTCCCCATTATAGGTTCCTACATCACATGCTCCTACCTGGAGGTACAAATGGGCAAGAGATGGAAACGACAGTCCCAGCCCCTCCCTGAGCTCACCTGGTCAGTGTCAGCATTGTCCCCAAAGCTCTGCATCAGCACTAAATCATCCATGTCTTGACCTCCAGTTGCCTCTCCTAGTAGTCTCTCCTCTTCAGGGCTCTGAGATTCTGGTGCCTCCTGGACACACAGAGGCAAGAGATGTATCCGAGATGCCCAATTCTTGCCCCTACTTCCCCCTACCTGGGTGCGGTGGGCATTACCTGAGCCTCGTTGTCTAGTTCCAAGGTCCTGAGATTCCCAATCAGCTTACTAGGGGATATGTGGGGTGGGTCTCCTTCCACAGGTGAGGCTGGGGGAGTCTGGTTGTCAGTGCTTGAGGCTGGAGGGACTTGGATCAGCTCAGCTCCCCTGACAGCCTCTGAGGTGGTCTGATCCAGCGTGGTTACTCCTGGGGTTGCCCCCAAGGTGGTCTGGTCCAGCGTGGCTCCCCCCATGGCTGTCTCTGAGGTGGCCTGGTCTAGCTTGGCTTCCCCCGTGGCTATCTCTGAGGTGGTCTGGTCCAGCGTGGCTTCCCCTGTGGCTGTCTCTGAGGTGGTCTGGTCCAGCGTGGCTTCCTCTGTGGCTGCCTCCAAGGACTTGTCCTGAGTGAGCTCCACCACAGCTGTCTCTGACTTAGTCTGGCCTGCAGTAGACTCTTCTACAGATGATACTGAGGTGGCCTTCCCCCTGCCTGCATCCAGAATGTTCCCTTCTGGTGTGATCATCTCCTTGGCTGACCCAGGATTGGCTGGTTGGGGTGCCTTCTTGGTGATCAACAAAGAACTGGATGGTCCCTCCTTGTCTTCGACCTCTGGAACCATGGGAGGGAGATCCTTGAGTGTGGGTACTATCCCCTCTCCTGCCCTCTCCCGAGCCCCCCATAATCCCCAATTCCCCATGCCCACTCACTTGTGATCTGCAAGCTGCGCCAGTATCTGCGATGGACTTGGATGGTCTCAGTGATGGAGGCCAGGGCCCCTGCTAGTGGGGGCCGTGTCAGGGTCAGCAGAGGTGGTGGGTCCCCAAGGAGGGAGCGGGTGCAAGCGGCCATGGACTCTGAGATGGATGTCAGATTATAGCCACCCTTTGTTAAGGAAAAGGGGAGGGAAAGGTATGAGGAGGGTCCTCAGGGAATTTGGGAGGCAAGATATCCTGCCTCCCAACCCCTCTTCAGAGCCCCGCAAGTCTGGAGGGTGGGTACTGGGGACAAGTGAGTAGAACCCACATCTGTCAGATGGGCAGCACCCATTGTGTGAGGTGGTTGTTAAGAGGGATAAACTGTGATGTAAAGTGCAAGATAATAATAACCACAGTAACGACAATACTGACGGTAACATTACTAACAGCTGACATTGATTAAGCGCTTGCTGTGTGCCAGACCCTATTCTAAACACTTTATGCATGTTAATTCACTTACTCCTCACAACCACATTTGCTCAATCAGTACAGGAACCTGTCTCCACAGTATGGAAACCCCTGGCCGCACCTCTACAGAAGTCCCTGCCCCGACCTGGTACAGGAACAGCTGGTGTTTCTACACGAACCCCTGTCCTGACCTGGTACAGGTCACACTCTTTCTCACACTCCTTTGGAACTCCAGTTTCTGCTCTTTTTACAGATCGGAAGCTGAGGCTCAGAGTGGTTGGATGACTCGTCTGAGGTCATAACAGCTGGTAAGAGGTGGTGCTGGGGTTGGAACCTGGACTATCTGATGAAAGAGTCCATGTTCTTAACCGCCACCCTGCCCTGCCCGAAGCAGTCCTGGGCACACTGTGGGACTTTTTTACCAGCCCATTAATTTCACTGAGACTTATTGTCCTCATCTGTAAAGTAGTAAAAGTAATAGCACACGAAGTTGCCAAGAGAGTTAAACTAGTATATGAACAACATATAATAATAGTAAGCTACAGAGTTCATACAGTGCTGACCATATGCAGGCACTCTCCCATGGTTAGCCAGCCTTATCTTACAGATGAAGAAACTAAGGCACGGGGGCGGGGGCACTGAGTAATTTACAAAAGGTCAGTGAATTTTTCTCAGGAACTTGGAGGCAGTTCAAGGAGTGGTAAAAGCATAGCCTCTAGAGCCAAGCTGCCTGGCTTTTCAAGCCCTGGCTCTGCCATTACTAAATGTGTGACCTCGGGCTAGTCACTACACCTCTCTGTGCCTCAGTTTCCCTGATATTGAGAGAGGAAAACTATGAGGTCAGCAGACTCTACCTCAGAAAGCTTCTTTGTCAAGTAAACAAATTAATAATATATTTAAAGTGCTGAGAAGAGTGTTTTGCACGTAGTGAGTGCTCAATTAAAGTTGTTAATGCTGGTATTATTATTTTTTTCGCTGAGGAAGATTTGCCCTGGGTTAACATCTGTTGCCAATCTTCCTCTTTTTCTTTTGCTTGAGGAAGATTTGCCCTGAGCTAACATCTGTGCCAGTCTTCCCCTATTTTGTATGTGGGTTGCTGCCACAGCACGATCACCAATAAGTGGTGCAGGTCTGTGCCTGGGAACCAAACCCAGGCTGCCAAAGTGGAGTGCACCGAATTTCACCAGTAGGCCACGGGGCCAGCCCCTATGCTGGTGTTATTATTAATGCCCATTATGTGCCAAGAATCCCAGGTGGGGACACTCAAAAGAGATTTTAAGAAATTACCCCAAGTGTTGCAGGCAGCCAGCAGAAAGGACAGGATTCCAGGTCTTCCAAACCACCCTCCCCCCTGCGGGAAGAGGGCCCAAGAGAGTTACCTCTAGGATTAGGATAATGTGGCCATTGGCAAGGCCCATCAGCAGGTGGGTAAGGTGGGCATAGCCCTCAGGCGACACCTGGCAACCACCCAGTGGGTCACCCCGTGCAGCGTCAAAGCCAGCTGAGACTAGCACCAGTTCTGGGTTAAACTAAGGCAAGGAGAGAAAAGATGCATGGGCATGAGGGTGGGGGCATGGGTAGGCAGCAGCTGAGGAAGACCCAGAGACACGGAGACAAGGACAAATGAAGATATAGAGATGCAAGTCAGAGAGAGGGAGACATGGGACCTGGAGACTGGGAAACACAAGACCAGAGCCCTGAAAATAGGAAGGGGAGGATGTGGAGACACAAGACGGAGAGACACAGAGACATGGAGACAGATTAACAGAGATGTAAACACACCAAACACAGACTTAAGAGACATGAGACACAGAGACATGGAGACGTTTCTAGAAATGGATGGATGGGGATATGAGACAGAGTCATGAGACAGAGAGATATGAGACAGAGACATGAGATGTGGAGGCTCAGAAGTCAAGAGACAGTGACATGGGACACAGGCACACAATACAAGTGCCACACACAGAAGATGGTCACATATAGCCACATGTACTCACATACAATCAGACAGGCCCATACAGACCAGACTACACATTGTACTAGTCACACACACATACATAGTTTCTCACAAAGGGGACAGTGATACACAGCCACCCCTGCACAGACACAATCATACACACGCCATCATCACACAGTCACACATACACTGTTGTGCCCATAGGAGGTGGCTGCTTGCACAGAGGCACACATGTACACATAGAAGGTAGTCACAGCCACCATGCATAGTCAGACACGCATACACATCTGAACATGCATGCTTACACAAAGGTCACAGAGATGGTCCTCACATTCATCTGCCCTCAGAGTCAGTCACACCCATACGATCCACCACACATACACACACACACACACACACACACACACACACAATACACACGGAGAAGGTGGTCACCTATGCCCGCTCATGCAGTTAGGCAAATATATATAGGCTACGTCCAGCCAGAAAGAGACACATAAACAGCAATGGCAGACACAGACAGAAAGGCGACTGTCACGCATAGCCTCCCACATGCAGAAAGTCACCAGTAGCTGTCAGAGAGCAACATGCAGTGACATACAGTATCACACCCTCACACACAGAAATAGTAGCGACAAATAGCCACCTGTGCAGAGTCTCACACACAGACTCAAACCCTTCCCTGCCTTGCACACTCAGTTCCACAGACATGGCAGTCACACGGGGACACTATCAGACACAGGCACTAGTGATGGTGTACATACAGGACACACATACAGGCAGGCACATGCAGACCACCCCTGCACACCCAGAAGTCCCTCACAGTTACACACAGGGAAGGCAATCACATATAGCCACTGTATACAGCCAGACATATGCAAAGGCCATCACAGAGTCACATCCCCACCACAGCCGTAAATACAGCCACACACAGGCCATCTCACAGGATCAGTCATCTGGAAGTCAGACACATGCACACCCACTGCCACCCACACAGTCGTGTCACATATATCCTGACCCATACCTCATAGGCAATGGGAAGCACCAGGCGATGCCAGGCAGCCAGGTAGTCAGCGTCACCCATGCGGGGCCCGTTCCAGGTCACATTGACAGTGAAGCCTGTGCCTGCAGCCTGGCCCATCTGGCTGCTGGCGCCCTCATCCCCCAGGGGGAAGAAGGTACCGTGATCATAGCGGTGCAGGGAAATGTACAGCACGCTGCCGGGGATGGGGTGGGGAGGGGGGCCATGGCTGGTTAGCAGCCCCCGGCACCCCGAGGCACAGCCTGCCCACCTCCCTGCCCACACCCCGCCCCCTGCCCCAGCCTCTCACCTGGGGTCCTCCTCAAATATGTGCTGAGTTCCATTACCGTGATGGACGTCCCAGTCTACGATCAGGATCCTGGGGAGGGGACAGCTCCTCAGTTACCCAGGACACTCACTGCCTGGGGAGAGGGCAGGGGCTAGACCCCTGGGGTCTGTCTGGAGGACCCTGGGTCCCTGGGGAAAGTGCTGGGTGGCAGGCTTGTGGGTCCTATCAGAGTAAGGATGAAAGCCAGAGCCCGGGTCCTGAGGGTTTCATCGTGGGCCCTTCATTGCGAGCAAGTGCTCAGAGCTGGACCCAGGCCTTGTGTGGGTAAATGTGGGGGGCTGGATCCTGGCTCTTTGGAAGTAAGCACCAGGGGTCTGGGCCCTGGGTTCTGTCAGGATAGCCATCAGGGGCCAGAAATGCTATGCAAGGGGAGGGCGGTAGGGTCGGGGGTGGCCCTGGATCCTGCTTTTTAAGCACCTGAGTGCCTGCCACAATCTGGGGGTCCTATCTGAGTAAGCACTGAGATGCTAGATCCTTGGTCCTTTTCTGGGGAAGTGCTAGGAAACTAGACCCTTGGGTGTTTCTGGGGAAGTCCTAGAGACTGTACCACGGGGCCTGCTGAGTAAGCACTGGGCTGGGGGCCCCCAGGGAGCCCTTACCGCAGCGCATGCCCACTGATGGCCTGGGCATGGCGAGCAGCCACAGCTACAGAGTTGAAAAAGCAGAAACCACAAGCGGCATCCTGCTCTGCGTGGTGTCCCGGGGGACGCACCACAGCAATACCATTCAAAACCTAGAGGAGGGGCAGGGAGCAAAGATTAGACTACTCACCCTCAGGGCTTTCCCTCCCCTTTCTTCTCTTCCCTCTCTCCTGCCCCTTCCACTACTCCACCAGCAGCTAGGGCCCCCAGTCCTGCAGCCTCCATGCCCCTGGCTGCATTTCCCAGTGAGCAAGGCCTCAGGTGAGCAGGGGTCCCCTCCCTGCTGTGGACTCCTCTCCATGGCCCCTTTCCACAGGCCCTGCTCAACTCTCTCAGAGCCGCCTCTGTCCATCCCCCCCAGGACCTCTTCTGCAGAGCTCCCCACCCCAAGGCGGATGCACCTCTCCCGCCAGCACAGCCTCCACCAGGCGGCACACAGCGCCAGTGGCCAGCTGCGCGCAGGCGAAGGTGCTGGGGCAGATGTAGATGGAGTCAAAGTTGGCGCCCTCACGGTGCAGCTCCCGGGTTTTCATCTTCTCCGTGGCCCGTAGACGACCCACATATTCAGCACTGGAGGCACGGAGGGGGCACCAGGGACAGTTAGATGGTTCTGCCCCCTCCTTTGTCCCACAGCAGCTCCGGGTACTGGGGAGGGAGAGCCCAGGCTCCAGCCCCCAGGGCAGCATGTGTGTACTGAGGCCTGATCCCACCCCACACATGGGGGTCTGACCTGTGGCAGGTAAGAAGCTCAGCATCTGTGGCGGGACGTGCGGGCAGGGTAAGGCAGCGCTCGGCAAGGTGCAGCTCCTCCAGACGGCGCATGATCCGTGAGACACGCTGAGGCATCTCGGGGTGATGGCTAGGAGCAGAGAACCAGAGGCAGGGCTTAGCGCTTGAGGAGGGGGAGGGGCACCCCTGCCCACTGAGCCCCGCCCTCTGACTGCGCACCTGTCCCACAAGTTGTAGTGACCCATCATCCGCTGGTCATAGACCAGCCCGGTGCGAGCCTGCAGCACAGGCCACGTCAGGATTGGGAGTGCAGGGGGCTGCCATGGTCCCTCCTCTTTCTCCTCCACGTTGTCCCCCTCCACAATGTCCTCCTCCATGGTCTCAACTGCAAGACGAGGCCACATTTACCCTACTCCCCCACCCTGAATCCCCCCGTAATACTCTGGAACTCAGTTTACCCAAACATAAAAAGGGGTAGGAAGCCTGAAACCAGGGCCCAGTGACAGAGAGGGCCTGACCCTCCCCCACCAAGGCAGCCCAGGAAAGTCAGAGTGGGGTCTGAAAGAGAATCTCCCACTCTGGCTCATTCCAGGCTCCACCCCCCACCAAGCCCACTCCTGCCTCTTACCTGATCTCACAAGGACCTCCCAGAAGGGCTCCAGGGCTTCCAGAGTGCAGGAGAGTGATGCCTTGGCACTGGAGGGCAGAGGAGGGGAAAATGTCACCAAATGGCCCCTGGGTGGGCAGTGAGGGTCCCGCTTCTCCCCTCTTCCATCTGGGCTCACCTCAGGCAGGGGGCACCAGGGGATTCCAGCATGGGGCAAGGATCTCCCAGAAGGGTGTGGAGCGAGGCGCTGACACCCTCAGCCAGAGAGCGGAGGTTGTAGCCACCCTGGGAGAAGGAGTGGGGGGGGGGCGGTCAGGAAAGAACCAGACGTTACCAGGGAAGAGTAATAATAATATTAGAGTGCTGACCGCATGTCAAGCAACAAGGAATTTAGAGAGTGACTTCATTCCGTTCACTGAACAGTGCTCTGAGGCGATTACTGCTATTCTTATGCCCACCTTACATAAGGAAAGCAGAGGCACAAGGAAGTTCAGTGACTTAGCTGAGGTTGTCCAGCTAGTAAGTGGAAAGGCTGGGATAGGAACTCCTGCCAGACTTGAGTGCTTTGTTCTTACGTCTTCCAGGATCCATGGGCTGAGAGGCGAAGTGAGTCACTCACCTCCAGAGACAGGATCAGCTTGCCTCCTGCCAGACCCATGAGCAGGTGGGTCAGGTGGGCGAACCCTGCTGGAGTGGCAGCCATCTCACCCTGAGGGGATGTGGAGGGTCAGTCTGGCTCTCAGTAGTCCCCTTCTGCCCAACTGCCATCCCAGGGAGCTTGCCTTACCTTGGGGTCCCCTTGGAGGGCATCAAATCCAGCAGCCACCAGGACTAGCTGTGGCTGGAACTGAGGGGGGAAGGGACTACATGAAGCCACCTGCCCTCATGGCCCATCCCTCGACATCGCCCCTGCCCCAACACACCCCAGACCCCCAGGACCTCCAGGGCGACTGGCAGCAGGATGTGCAGGAAAGCAGCAATGTAGTCGGCATCTCGCATGCCCACCTGCAGACAGAGAAGCAGGATGGGGACATTCTGCCCTCTGCCCCGAACCAGCTGAAGTGAGGGGCTCACTTTGGGGGCAAAGAGTGGGCAGACACTGACCTGGTTCCAAGGCACATTGATGGTGTATCCCCGGCCTTGGCCAAAACCTATGGTGGACCAGTCAGAGGCCTTAAGGTGGGGCCAGAACCGACCCTGCTCATAGCGGTGGATGGAGAAATAGAGGACGCTTGGGGCAGAGGAAAAAAGAGGTCGGGGGGTTGAGGAGTCAATCCCCCAGACATCCCTAACTCAGAGCTATCACAGTTTACTCAACCACTCATCCATTCTCTCACTATTTTCCCCATTAATTCTTTAATTCATATATTCACTCCTTCTTCCATTAATTTATCCCTCCATTCAGTTGCCAATTTACTCAGCCTCCCATTCATTAATTCTTCTATTTATTTATCCATTACCTCACTCACTGATTCATTTGATCTCTTACCAGAACTCCTCCCTTGGCAAACATTGCTGCCCCCCTCAGTGCCCACCCAGTTCCAGCTCGGAGACCCTGAGAGCTATCCGGTCTGTCTCAGCCCCCGAGGGCTCCTGACCCCGTGGAGGACTCTAGATCATGTCTGTCCATCCACCTGCCCCTGTGACCAAGGTGGTAACAGCAGGACAAACCCACACAGGGCATGGGGCTCTTAGTGGCAGGAGCCAGCTAAGGCTGAAAAGAGCATCAGGCAAGGCTGGGGAGCTTAGTGTTTCCCATGAAGGAAGTGGGGAGACTCAGGGGAAGACTCAGTGGGGAGGTCAGAATGGGTCGGACTTGGTTGTGTGTGTGGAGCTGGAGTGGGGGTGCCGGCTGGGGCTCCATGAGGCCAGTGAGGGGACAATTCCTCCTTCCCAAGACCTTACAGGCCACCTCCACTACTTCTTCTATTTTATAGGGGAGAAATCGAACACTCAGAGCAGTGAGGGGGACTGACACACAGAGCAGATACTGATAAGACACGATGGTACGTGTTCTGATAGAAAGCCAGGCAGGGGACTGTGGGAGGGCTTAATTCTGACTGGGGCAATCAAAATGAATAATCTCTCATCCATCCGTCTGTTCATCTGCCTCCTGCCTTGTTCCAGAAAGGATTTAAGGTAGCATTTTTTTCTTTTTTTAGGGAAATGCAAGAAATAGTGGTAAGCAATGAATCTAGTCAAACTTAATAGTCACATTTTAATAAATGGTGACCATGTACTTGTGAAATTGAATGCAACTGGTATAAAAGGATTTTTGAAATTGAAGAAAAAAATCCTGAAATTGGGGAATGAAATCCATGTGAAAGCTCTGGTCTTGAGTAGATGGGGGATGACTGTTTTGCTTTAGACTCTGATAGATAAATATACAGTAGAACATAAAGATTATCATCAGGAGGAAGAAAGGAAAAAGGAAAAGATTTAAAGATCGCTCACCTCACAAGAGAGCCACCAGAGTCAACAAACAAAAGAATACTCAAGGAAACTGAGTTTATAAAACAAACAAGGAGATTTTAAAATAAGTTCGACTGACTTGCAGTGAAAGGACGGTGGACTGATAGCTCTCCTACGACCTCCCTCCTCCTCCTTGCTCTCCTGCGATCCCAGTCAAAACATAGGAAAGGAATCGTAAATAAGTATCAACCAGGAAAGACTGAGAATGGGAGAAAGGATGTCAGACAATAAGAGACTTCAACAAATCTCTGGAAAGCAGTCTTTGAGGCTCCAGGGGCCCCAGAGGTTGGGGAGGGCACCCAAGGTGACCTGAGGTTTCCCTTCTGGAGAAATCAAGCACAGATCCAGGTCAAGCACAGATCCAACAAAATCAATTCTGAATAGCTAATTCATTGAATGACCAATTCACTAAATTTACTTGTTTCTTTTAGCTACTTAGCTTTAGTTTACTTGTTTCCTTGTCTTCATAATAGTATTTTAAGGACTGACCAATTTGTCTCCACCCAAGGACCCTGCTGATGGAGTTAAGAGACTGAGAGATGGGCAGCTGGGAGACTGAAGGGCATGGATAAATATTTTTTTATTTATACATTATTATTCATGAGGAAAGATGCCATGAATATATTCACAATTCTTCATATCCATGCACACAGTCAATAATATAGCCACAAAAGAACACAGCTGTAGCTTCCAATGCATTTATTAAAACAAATAGAATGATTAATGATATTTAGCAATTCTTATTCATTTGCTTAGAGATGATACTATGGTTATGCTTTTTTTTTTTTTTAATGCCCCATGTTTTGGAGAGATATTCTGGAATATTTATAGAAGAAATGATATAGTGTCTGGGATTAGCTTCAAAATAATATAGGAGGTTCAGCAGTGAGTGCAGGTATAGATAAAACGAGATTGGCCAATGAGGTGATAAATGTTGAAGCACTCAATTGAAGAAGCCAGAAATGACCAAAATAAAGAACACAAGAGGAAGAAATTAACGAAGGTAAAAACAGAAAAAATGAAATATAAAAAAATAAACAATGTAACAGTGAAGATGGCCAAAAAAGCCAAAAGCTAGATTTGAAAGGTAAAATTGACAAACTTTGGCAAGGCTGAGGGTAAAAAAAGAGATGTCACCCCAAGAAGAGACCCCCTTTATTCTGGCATTTGGCAGGATCCCAGCTCCCTGCCCATACTCCCTAAAGTTGAGACCTATCAGTGGACATTTCCCGCCCCTGTCCCAGGGAAATGCCTTTCAGGAAACATGCGCCACAGCAGAGCAGTCCCAGGACAGCCACCTGCAACAGTGCTTCGTTCTTAGGTATAAATGGCCAAATAATGATCACTAGACATTTGAGGAAAACTGAAGAAAACTTAAGAGAGCTCTGAACTAGTACTCTATAAAAACAAGATCAGGAATGAGATGGCATAGAAACACAGAGGAAGAAAGTGCTTTTGGAGATTAAAGAATATCTAAATACATAATTCAACAGAAGGGCTTGAAGGTAAAGCTGAGGAAATCCCCCAGGACACAGAGCAAAAGGAAAACGAGACAGAAAACATAAGATAAAAAATAAGAGACACAGAGGATCAACCCAGGAGGTCTAACATCTGACTAGCAATAAGAGACCAGAGAGAATACAGTAGAAGAAATCATCAAAGATCTAAGAGAAGAAAATTTCCAAGGATTTAAGGAAGGCATGAGTCTTCAGATGTAAAATGTCTATCCACTGCTAAGCAGAATGAGGGGGCTGGGGTAAAATTTCAGAACACCAGGGATAAAAAGAAGAACCTAAAACCTTCAGAGAGGAAAAGAGGTTACTCAGAAAGGAATGAAAATAGGACATCAGACATCTGCCAGCAACACTGAATGCCAGAAAATAATAAAGCATTGTCTAGAAAACAGCCAACCTAGATAGCCACAAGAGCTCAGGCTCTATGGGGAAAAAGTGGATTTTATGCAGTCGGTTCAATAGAGGCTGGATAAAACCACAAGTCCTTAGTATTGTCCTCTATTGACAAGGACCCGCTCCATCACTTTCTGCAGGAAGCATAGGCTGGTACCACCCTTCTGAAGGGAAGTCTGGCAGTAGAACCCAGACTTGAAAGCATGCTGACCCTCCGACCTAGCAATCCACTATCGGAAATTCATCCTATAGATATGCTCAGAGAAGTGTAAAATTATATATTTTCTAGACTATTCACTGTAGAATTGTCTGTAATGGCAAAAACTGGGAGGCATCATAAATGTCCCGTGGTTAAATGACCAGAGGTACAGCCATACAATGGAACACTGTACAGCCCTTACAAAGACTGAGGTGGTGCCTTTTTTTAGAGGCACTATCATGGAGAAGTGTCCACAACATGCTGTTAAATGCAAAATGCAAGTTGCTGGAGGACATGTAGAGGATTGTCCCATTAGGCAGTGTGTTAATAACAATAATGATAATAACAAATATTCATACATCATAGGAAAAATTCTGTAAGGATATAACCTAAACTATCAACAGTTATTTTTGAGGTGATGGGAATTACAGGAGACTCACTGCTTTAGACATTTCTGTCTTATTTAATTTTTTTAAACAAATGCTTTGCAGTAGTTATAATCAGAGAAAATAAAGTAGTAATTTGAGGTTCATTCCAGCTCCAGGGTAAACTGACGAACAAGACCTCCAGAGATCTCTGGGCTCAAATCTCATCTCTTTCACTTCTTCTCTGTGTGACCCTGTAATCTGTAAGTCTCAGTTCTCCCTTCTGTAAAATGGGGAACCCGGCAGTCCCTGCCTGAGAGTGAAATTGAGAGCAGACACACAGAGAGCAGCACAGAGCCTAGTCCCAAGGTGGGCCCAATGAATGTGAATGCCTTCCCTTCCCTCCTAGGCTCCTTCCGGCTGGGCCTATAAGAGTGGGGGGTGGCCGGGAGTCTAGCATCTAGGGTGGCACTTGGAGCATACCTGGGGTCCTGGTCAAAGGTGAACTGTGTTCCTTGACCATGGTGTACATCCCAATCCACGATAAGGATCCTGTGAGCAGGAGAGAGGGGGGCACTTTGTAAGAGGACCAAGGTACAGCCAGGGAAAGTGCCCAGACCAGGATATCCCACTTCATCCCACCCCATCACACCCGCCCTGCTGCTTTGCTGCTGACCTCTGAATTTCATGCTTCTGTTGAGCGTAGCGGGCAGCCACGGCCACATGGTTGAACATGCAATACCCATCCATAAGACTGTGCTGGGCATGGTGTCCAGGAGGCCTAGGCAGAACAGAGAAGGCCACAGATTGGGGGAGTCCTCCTGTGCAGAGATGGACTCTCCCCTGCTCTCTAATCCTGGACCACCAACTCCCCCTCAGTGCCGATGCTTGCAAATCTGCCACGAACTGAGTAAATGGGGCCCTCGGATGCTCACCCCCAGTCTACTGCTCTCTCTCCAAAGGAAATTTGGTAATGTTCATTAAAATTATTAATGCATACACCCTCACACCCAGTCATCCTGCTCCTGGGGACTTAGCCTGCAGCCTATATAACAAAAAGGGTGAAATAACATGTTTATAAATGGACAACGATATTTGCTGTTGCATTTTTTGGAGACAGTAAATGATTGGGGAGAACCAAAATGCCCAAGGGTAGGGGGCTGGTTACCCTACTGTGCATTTGCACAATGGTGTTCTACATGGTTGTAAGCTACACATTGTTAGAGAAAAGCTTTCCAAGATGTAGAAATGAAAAATGCATGGTAGGGAAGGGAGCATGTCGAGTGCTACCACCATTTGTGGCTAAAAAAGGGGAGGGAAGAGAAAGGCTGTATCCTGTACATTTCACCAATTCTGGGAGGTCAACAATGATAAGATGTACCATGATTTTATATGCCAACAACGAAGCAGAAAATGCTACCAACTGAATTCTGAGACGCCACTGTTGGTAAGATGCATCTGGATTTCAAGATGTTACAAATATGAAAAATCCACTACGCATCTTAGAACCAACGGAATACGGTATTTATTCCATCAATAGGCACGGACTGTTTCTGGGAGGACGTGAGTCGGTTACAGTGCCTGCCTTCAGGAGAGGAAGGAGATGTCTGGGGGACAGGAATGGGAGGGAGCCTTTTCCCTATACCCCCTTTTGTACCTTTTGACTCTTGAAACATGTGGATATACTGTCCATACCAATATATTTTACATTTGAGGGAAGGAATTTTTTAAAATGTAAGAAGACAAATGCTGGCGGGTCCTACCTGATGATGGCCATGCCATTCCGGATCTCGGCCCCCAGGACAGCATCCACCAGCCTGAGGACAGAGCCTGAGGCCAGGCAGGCACAGGTGTATGAGTTCTGGAGAGATAGTAGGGAGTCAGAGAAGGAGTGAGGGAGAGAGCAACCCTGTCATTCAGCTGCTTCCCCCAGGGTGGGGTGGGCGTGGGGATAGGGCACCTCAGGATTGCCACCACCCTCTGTCCTCACAGTTCTGATCCATACCGGATGCAGATAAACTGAGTCATAGGTGTCTGCTAGGATGCGGAGTTCCCTTTCATTCATGTATTGGGTCGTCTCCATCAGATCAATATATTCTAGGCTGGGGACACAGACGGGGGATGAGAGTCAAGGGTCTACCTCCCTCCTTGGCCCTGAACCAGGGCCCTGTCCCTCCCCAGCTGAGCTTTCTGTGCATCAGACTCCCGGACATGTCAGGCCTCCTCAACTGTCAGTGTGGGGGAACAGCTGGGATACAGGACACATTCCCTGCATCCTCCCTAGCCCACCTCATTTCCAGTAATATCCCTTGTCCTCTGCTCTAGCCACACCAAATCCTATGTCCAGGCCTTTGGCCTGACTGTTCCAGCTGTCTGTACCTCCCTTCCCTCAGCCCTTCTCTTCATCTGACTTATTCTTTTTCTTCTCTTAAAGCTCAGCTCAGATACCCCCTCTGCCAAACTAGCTTTCCTGGAGCCACACTGACAACCCAGCCCTCTTGCTCTAGGTTCCTGCAGCCTCCCAGGGAAACTCCCTGACCACTCTGCCCACACATCCACCATGTGTTTACACACCAGGTTATAATAACAACAATAGCTCATCATAGGCTGATGATATGTCAGGCACCATTCTAAGCACCAGACGCATACTGAACCCTCCTGAGGAACTTATGTTTACTAGCCCCCATGTTACAGGTGATGACACTGAGATTCAGAAAGGCTCAGCAACTTGCCCAAGGCCATGGGACCCATGACATTCCTTCCCAAAGCATCCAGCCTGCCCTAGTTGGCCCAGGGTAGCCTCTTCCCTATCCCTACAAGGCTCCCAAGCCTTCACCTGTGAACCAACATCAGCTCCTCCTTTTCGGCGAACCGGGCCTGGGGAGACACAAGGAACAAGGGGCTAAGGCACTGGCCGCCAGGTCCTGCCAGCTCCTGCCCTCTACCCAGGTTGTTGGCTGGCGGCGGGGTGGGGATGGACAGACTCACCTGAAAGGACACACAGCGGTCCAAGAGGCCCTCCTGGATCAGCTGCTCCTTGATGGCATGGAGCCGCTCAGGGCCTTCAGGGAAGCTGGGTTGACAGAAATAGAGTCACACACACACACACACACAGACACAGATAGATATGGGGACACTGGTGAGCACATTTGCTCCTGCCGCATCTTCTCCATCTACCCTTCTACAACTGCTCACGCCAGAAACTTTGGAGTCACCCCTGGCGCCTGTTGGCTCTGTTCTCACAACTTATCCAGTCTGCCCCTCTCCTCGTCACACAGCCTCCGCCTGGGCTCTTGCACTCAGCTCCTCACTGGCCTCCCTGCTTCCGCCCTCGCTCCCCCAACAGTCCTTTCTCTGCACAGCAGCCAGACATTAGTTAAAACCTAAATCAGATCATGCCCCCTCTGCCCAAAACCTCCCTGTGGCTCCCATCTCATTCCGAGTAAAAGCCAAAGTCCTCCCCATGCTCCAGAAGGCCCCGAACAATCTGTCCCATCACCTCTCTGATCCCATCTACCACTCTCCCCTCTCTCACTCTCCTTCTACGCCGGTCTTCTCCCTGCTCCTCAATCAAACCAAGTACTTTTCAGCTAGCTCATCTCCCTGCGTAGAACACTCTTCTCCCAGACGTCTCCATGGCTCACTCCTTCAACTCCTTCAGATTCCTGACCAGTTCTCAGCGAGGCCTTCCCTGAACATCCTATTTAAAACTGAAGAGTCCCCTCCACTGCACTTTCTGCTACTCTCCGTCCTACTCCATGTTTTTCCACAGCACTTCTCTTTCTAACACACTATATCATTTCCTTTTTGTCTGTTTACTGCCTGTCTCCCTCTCTAAAATGTAATCTCCACGAAGGCAGGGGTTTTGTTTGTTTGTTTACTGCTGTGTCCCTAACTCCTCAGGAAATGGTAGAAGTGCAGCAATAAATGAAGTCTTTTTGCCATCATGAGTCTTCTGTTTGGATAGAGAAGATAGATACTAAACTGGTAAACACATAAGTACACTAATGAACAAACAATGACATGGGGCTAGGAATATCTCAAAGATCAGGTGTGGGGGAAGGAGAGTGGCCAGGCAAAGCCCTCTCTGAGAAAGTCTCCTTGAGATGAGAATGTTAACTGGGCAAGGAGAAGGTGGAAACGAATCTCTGGAAAACAGATCGGCCAGGGTAAAGACTCGAGATGGGAGAGTGCCTAGCATGTTGGAAGAACAGCAAGAGGACCAGTGTGGGTGAAGTGAAGTGAAGCAACGCAAATGAGTGGGAGGATTGGCTGATGAGGTCACCAAGGCAATGTGGAGCCTGATCACGTGCAACCTTAGAGGCCTGGATGAAGAATCTGGACTTTACCTTCAGGGGAATGGTCTGCCCTTGAAGGATTTTAAGAAAGAAAACATCATCTAGTACATATTTTTTTAGGCTGCTGTGTGGAGAACAGACAGCAGGGATGAGGGTGGAAGCAGGGGACCAGTGAGGAAGCCTCTGCAAGCCTAGGTGAGTGATGATGAGGTGGCAGTGAAGGTGGTGAGGAGAGATCAGATACAAAGTACATTTCGAACACAGAGCCCAAAGACTTTGCTGATGGATTACAACATGTGTGAGCGAATGGGAGGTGTAATACTTCCGTTTCAGCACAAACGTCCCTTCTTCATGAAAACCTTCTGGGAACCCTGGATGCTAGTCTAGGGTCCCCTACTAAACACTCTTGAATCTTCTGGTCTTAAGTCCTCCTTTAATAACACCTCACACTGCTGTTGGCTGTTTGATGATCTGCTCTCCTACTCCCCTATCAGTTCCTTGAGAAGGGACTCTGTCTTGTCCGACATGTTTGTATCACTAACTCCTGGCACACAGTAGGCACTCAATAAATGTTTGTTGGATAAATGAAAAGAACCCTTTCAAGCCTGAGCCCCATCTCCCTAAATCATCTGCTTCCTGTCTCCAGGCTAGTGTAAGAAAGGATCTGTTCTTGCTAACAGGCTCTAAGTGTGTATATTTGTGTCATTTGGAGATGGCCTGGAGGAACCAGCCTCACCTGTCATCCCAGAGGCAATGAAATTCATTTAGCTGCTCATCAAACACCAAGCCAGTGCCAGACAGCGTCTTGGCCTCAAGGTTCAGATCCTGCAGGGAAAAAAATGGGAGATACCAATCAATTGAGAGCCTGACTCAGAGGGAACATCCCATACTGTCCAGCATGGAGAACCTCAGGGTTTTGATTGTCACAGGAGCTAAATTGCAGCCAGGCCTCTCTCACCAGCCCTTGCAGCCCCATGATTAGGTCTTGGTCGGCTGCTTGGCTGAGCTTCTTCATTCTGCCTTTCTTCTTTACCTCCGCTAGATTAGGGCTGGAGCGGAGTGTGGCACCCTTCTTAACACTCCTCTTCTGCCAAACACAGAGAAGGGTCAGAGTCCAGGGCACAGTCCACTGCTCCCCCTCCCCCTAATCAGGGCACGTCTAAGGCCTCACCGAGGCGACGCTGGAGTCGTGGGGGGGGGAGTGGGGGTTGTGCCTACTCCTTCGCTGCCTGGTTGTGGTGGAATCCTGGCCGGTAGAGGTCATGGTCGGGGAGGCTTCACCCCTGACGACGTTCTAGAGGTTGGGGTACAGGTGACTGTGAAGGGGCTGGAGTGTCCTGAGGACCCCATATCCCAGCCCCTTCTCAGGCCCCGCCCCCTATACTAGTTTCCATCCCTTAGGCTATCCCGTTCCCCACCGCCTTCTAAACTCCGCCTCTCTCAAGGCCCTCTTCCTCCTCTGGGGTGTCCATTCCACCTGGTCCCGCCCATTCCATTCCACGAGGCTCCACCCTTCCAACACTATTCTTTCTCCTTTCCATCTTTCCCTTTCACTGAGCAATTAACGCCCAGGCTGAGCCCGTTCTAGGGCCTTCATTTTCCAGCTAATCACCGCCCCTTCCGTTCTACTCAGCCCCATTCCCAGACCCTTTCATTCCTCTAAGCTTCGCCCATACCCCACCCCTTCACAAACCTGCCCTTTTCAGCCAATCTCCCGGGATCATCACCCACCCTTTCACTCAGCCAGACCCAGCCCCGGCCCCGACTCCACCCTTAACGAGCCACTTAACTCCACCCCTTATCAGGCCGGACCGGCACCTTTCACTTGGCCAGATCCCGCCCCTAACGTTTCAACTAGCCCTGCTCCTCGGGGGACTTCCCCTGGCCTTCCACCAGACCCCACCCCCTCACCCAAACCCTACCCATAACGCGTCACCAAGCCCCTTCAGCCAGTTCGGAGCCCACTCCCGCCAGTCCCCTCCCCCACCCCGCCCCCGCCGTCGACTCCGACCAATCGCTTCAGGTCCACTCACTGAGCGCAGCCCCTTTCTCAAACTCCGCCCTTGGCTCCCGCCGCCAAATTCCCGGCGACCTGTGGCGCCGCGGGTGCCCGAGGTCTTCTTTTCCATTGGGCCGGGTCTCTCTTACTGCCCGCCCTGATCCCGCCCACAACGGAGAGCTCGCCGCAAGGCCGCGCCTTTCGTGTGGGCCGCGCCTCCCGCGAACTCACAAACGGCGGCTCTGTACGTCAGCGCGCGACGCGGGACGTGCTGCGCCTGCGTGAAGCGCGCGCCGGCCGTTCGACGCGGCGGTTAGGCTCAAGCTCGCCCCTCCCCCAACCGCCTCCGCTGACGTCCTAGCCGCTGTGGCCGCCGTCTCTCCGTCCCTGTGAGCCCTTCAGGCTCGCGCCGACTGTGCCATGCGGTGACTCAACAGGGCAAGCAAGCGAGCGGGAGAGTTAGGAAGGGGCCTCTTCTCTCCTTCCCGCGGCTTCCCGCACGGCGCGTCGTGATGACGTGGCGCGGGCGGGCTGGCCTCTGCACCGCGAGCGCGGTTGAAACTGGACGATGGCTGGTGGCGGCCAAAATAGGAGTGGTGATGAGGCTAAATATGAGGATTTTCTGAGTTAGTATATTCACTAAGGTAGTACAGAGGAAGCACTCACCAAATGTTAGCTGTTAATATTCTCCCGCGAAGGTGGATAGTGAGGCGGAAGGAGTCTTAGTAGGGGAAAGTAACTGTAATGATAGCCAGCGTTACGTGACAGGCATTGTTGTAAGCCACAATTCTGTGAGGTAGTTCCCATTGTTAAGGCGGCCTTGCAGATAAGGAAACTGAGGTTACGCGACTTAACCATGTGACCTTGGCAAGTTACTGAACATCACTGCTTCAGTTTCCTCATCTGGAAAATTGTGATAATAATAGTGCCCCGGGCCAGAATGGACTCGGGGAGGGGAGTTTTTCTTGGACGGCAGCTCTCCCTGCCAGCCCCCTCCACCGGGTAACCTCTGCTCCCAAGCTGCAATAGAAAGTGTGTGCCTGGGGGGTAGGAGGAGTTGCCCTCTAATGCCCCCCCAACTCCCTCCCATGTCTAAATGTCAGCCCCGCAGGAGGCCGGTTTGTCCTCCTAATCTCCCTCTCTCATTCTTCACCATTTCCTACCGGGCTGTAAGCTGGGGCCAGAGAGATAAGCGGTCTGGGGTTCAGCATCGCTGACTAACAAACAGATTGACAGCCCTGCCGCCCAGTAGCTGGGCCCTCTGAACCCTCTTGAAAACCCCGGTTCCAGCCTTCTCTTCTTTTCCACTCTTTTCCTACCTAAACATGTCTTTAGTCTCAGTGGAAGAGGGTGACAGCCCTAAGACCTTTAAACCTCTACATACACCAAAGAGAGGATATACACAGTGATACACACTGAGGAACATTCTGGAGTTGTGATGCCTGCAAAGTAAGAGTAGGGAGGCTTGTAAGAGCCAAGGCCATTTTTCTGTATAGTCAGAAGAGAGCTTCCTGTAGAGCAGGGGTCGTCAAACTTTTGCTATAAGGGCCTGATAGTAAGTATTTTAGGCTTTGCAGGCCACAGAGGGCCTCTGTGGCATATTTTTCTTTCTCTCTTTCTTTTTGTCTCTTTCTCTCTTTCCTTTTTTTTCTTTCCCTTTAAAAATGTAAAAACGGGCTGCAGTCTGGCTTTGGCCTGAAGGCCATAGTTTGCTGACCCCTGCTGTAGAGTGTCGGTCTTTGGTTTCCTTTATCTGGCTGGGATTCTTTTACAGGATGAGTGCAGAGGTCCCATGCTTCCTGAGGAGAGGTATTCCTTTTGTGTGAGGTGTGAGGATAGGGATTTATGGACAGGGGTCAGGTCACTTCTGGTGTTCTTCTGTTGGGTCAAGCAAATGTTCCTGGACAGAGTGAGACTTGGGATTCCTTTAGTGTCTATAGTGCTGTTCCTCTACTGAATCAAGCAGATGTTTCTATACAGGACAAGAGAGTTGTTTCTAGAGAGCTCCACACTAAGGGTTCCCTACAAATTCAGGTTCGGGCTCCTTAGACTGCATTATGACAGGTTCCTACAGAGAGATCAGGTGGTCCAGGTCAGGGTCAGCACAGGTGTTTCTGTGTAGGTTCAGAGCTGTCTTCATATAGACATTAGGATCGGGTGTTCGTGTCCATATTCAGTCAAGAGATTGTTATTAATTGGGCTAAATTATGCTAGCTGCTGTAACAAACAAACCCAGAATCTCAGGGGCTTAATAAATAAGTGTTTATTTTTTGTTCATACAAAATCCAATGTGAATTTTTATTACTGCTCATTCATGGACCCAGGCTCTTCTATTTTGTGGCTCTGCTCTCCTCCGAATCCTTGGAGTTCTCACTATTCAGCTGGTAGCTAGGGAAAGAGAGAGAGTGGAGGATTGCGTGAGAGGTTTTTATGGGCCAAGCCTGGAAGTGTTGTATGTCACTCCCCACGCTCCATTGGTCAGAACTCTGTCACATGTCCACATTGAACTGTAAGGGAGGTTGGAAAAGCGACTGAGTTCAGGAAGAAAGGGAACAGGTTTGAAGAGCCTATAGTAGTACCTTGCTGCAGGATTCTATAGACTCCACAGAGCTATGCTGTCCAATGTGGTAGCCACTAGCCACACGGGGCTGCTGAGCCCTTGAAATGTGGTTAGTCCAACTTGAGATATGCTATAGTTATAGAATATACACTGGATTTCAAAAAATTAGCATGAAAAAAATTTTAAATATCTCAATAATTTTATATTGATTACATATTGAAATGAAATATTTGAATATATTGGGTAAAGTAAACTATATTATTAAAATTAGTTTCATCTTTTTTTTCTCTTTTAATGTGACTACATGAAAATTTAAAATTACACATGTCGCTCGCATTATATTTCTATCAGACGGCACTGCTAGAGAGATTTTTTTTTTTTAAAGATTGGCACCTGAGCTAACAACTGTTGCCAATCTTTTTTCTGCTTTTTCTCTCCAAATCCCCAGAGCACATAGTTGTGTATTTTCAGTTGTGAGTCCTTTTAATTGTGGCATGTGGGACGCCACCTCAACGTGGCTTGATGAGCGATGCCATGTCCGCACCCAGGATCCGAACCAGCGAAACCCTGGGCTGCTGAAGCAGAGTGCACAAACTTAACCACTCAGCCATGAGTCCGGCCCTGAGAATTCTCTTTAAAGTATTGGGACGGGGTGCTTGTGTAGGTATAGGGGTTTCCTTATATGGTCAAGTTAGTGTTTCTTGTCTGGGCTCAGGAGAATGGTTCTATTACCTGGTCAGGCTGGTTTGTAGGAAAATATGAGGGTTAGAGACATTGTAGATCGAGAGGGAAGGGTGTGAAGGCGTTTTTTTCTTGTGCAGATTAAGATTACATGTTCCTTTAGAGGCCAGGAGAGTGGTTTTCTGTAGAGGGTCAGGCCAGAGGATCACTCAGGCCAGGTATTTCTGTATAGGATCAGAGCTAGGTTCCTGGAGACAGATCAAGTGACCTGTTAAGGGTTAGGTCAAGGGTGCTTATGCAGGTTCAGGACAGGTGATCATAGTGATTCAGGTTAGGGGTTATTTAACAAGGTCATAGCAGAGGTTCCTATACAGTGCAGGTGTTTCTATGTTGGATGCTTCTCAAGAGTCAAAGGTTCCCATTGAGTGTGAGAGCAGGGTTTTCTGTATCAGCTCAGGACACAGTTTCCTGCTGGGACTCAGAGGGTGGTCCCATGCAGAGTCAGGACAAAGATCCTGTGCAGAGGTAGGACACTGTTACCTTCAGAGATTCAGATTAGCGTTTCTTCTGTTGGGTCAGGACAGTGGCTTCTGGACAGGGCAAGGGTGGGGCTTCTGGGATGAGGCCAGGGCAAGGGCTGTCATAGAGAATCACCTCAGGGCTTCCCCTGCAGGGTCAGGAGAGTGTTTCCAGAGAGCAAGGTTAGGAGTTCCTGTAAAAGATTAGGTCATAGATTCCCGTAAATGAGTCAAGTTAAGGATTTCTGTTGAGAGACCAGTCAGGTGTTGCAGTACAGTTGTAGGCAAGGCTTCCCATAGAGGTCAGGGCCATGGAGCTAACACAGGATGAAAGTTGGGAGCCCTGTACTACGTCTGGGCAGGGGATCCTGTGCCAGATGAGGCACAGATGCCTGTATAGGATGAGATCAAAGCTTAAAGCAGAGTCAGGACAGATGTCCCTGACACAGGGTCAGGAAAGGGTTTTCTATTTAGGTTCCAGACTGAGGTTTATGTTGAGAGTTAGATCTTGAGCTCCTGTGGACTCCATGGGGTAGGGTGAGATCCAGGGTTTGTTGTGCACAGTCACGTTGGGGGTCATTGTCAACAATGGAGGCAAGAGCTTCTACTCTCAATCAGGGTTCCTAAAGAGACTGAGGACAGGGATTTCTGCAGAAAGAGCCAGGTCAGTGGTTCAGAACTAGATTTTATCGTGAGTGAAGTGTTTTTTTTTTAAAGATTTTTTTTATTTTTTCCCTTTTTCTCCCAAGCCCCCCGGTACATAGTTGTATATTCTTCATTGTGGGTCTTTCTAGTTGTGGCATGTGGGACGCTGCCTCAGCGTGGCTTGATGAGCAGTGCCATGTCCGCGCCCAGGATTCGAACCAACGAAACACTGGGCCACCTGCAGCGGAGCGCGTGAACTTAACCACTCAGCCACGGGGCCAGCCCCTGTGAGTGAAGTGTTTTTAAAGTGTTACCTGGAGGACACGGCTCCAGTACAGTGTGAGGACAGAGATGTCCTGTCCGCGGTCAAGACAAAGTTTCTATAGAGAGATTGAGGCTCAGAAGAGGCTCAGGACAGGCATTTCTGTAAGGACAGGGGCTTCCTTAATGTGAGTTCAGAGATTCCTAACCAGAGTAAGGCCGAGATTCCCGTGCCATGGGAGGACAGGGGTTCCTCCTATCCAAGGTGAGGGCTGGTGTTCCTGTCCAGGGTCAGGATGGGTTTTCTGTTGATAATTAGAGAAAGGGTTCCCTTAAGAGTTCCAGCGCTAGGTTCCTATACCAGGCTAGGACAGCTGTTCTTCTAGGGGGCGAGGACCGGGGTTCCTGAACAAGGTGGGGCCAGGCACATTTCCACCCCAGGTTCTGAGAGGGGTTCTTGTGCAAGGTGAAGACAAGGGCTCCTACAGGGTGTGGGGGCTGGGGTTCTGTGGGGCAGCCAGGCAGGAGGCTTTCAGAGGGCCGGGGCAGTTCTGGACAATCCCTGTAATGAGCATGGCCTACTGTGATTCTGCAGTGGGCTAGTGTGGCAACTAGCTGAAGGAGTGGTTTTCTGTCGAGAACAGCTGCTTACCCACTACACTCAGGAGGCGTGGGCCTGTAGTCCACATCTCTGGGGCTCTAGGGGAGAAGCAGCTTAAGTATGAGCAAGACTCACTTTGGGGTGGTGCCACCAATCCAAAATCCACTCCTTAAATTCAGTGTGGTCAGGGCAAGTTACTCATCAGTTCTGAGCGTTACTTTTTCATGAGGAAAATGAATATGAATATACTTTCCTCTGCCTTTTTTCCAGGTGTTCATGAACTAAAGCAACTGAAGCCTCCCAGCCATTGCTGACCCACAGTGAGCACCCAGTAAATGGCGCTGCTTGCTGTTGGGAGCTGCTGGGTAGCGTGGAGGCTAAGCTGTGGAGCCTGGCTTGCCCCGTGCCACCAGCTATGAGGCTGAGCCACTTAACCTGTCTGGTTTAGGAGGTCACCTGACTCAGTGCAGGCTCCTCTGTAAGGGTTTGTTCAATGGAAGAACAGATTCTGCTTTAAGGGGAGCAGTTCACCCAGGTAAGTAGGTGTGTTGGGCAGGGAGTTGGCACTGTGGGGAGCTCCCCCACCTACGGGGTCTAAATATCACCCCCAGAGGTTATTTTGTCCTCCTAATCTCCCTCTTTGGTTCTCTACCATTTCCCACAGGGCTACAGGCTGAGCTGGGCTGAGAGAGATAAGAAATGGGTGACAGGAAGGCCCCGGACAGCCCCACAGTCCCACACTGGCCTTCTGACCTTCTGGACGGCTACTATTCCAGTCCCCCCCTTCCCCCACTTCCTGGCCTGAACTTGTCTTTTGTCCCTTGGAAGAGGGTCCCTAACTTATGCCAACTGAAACTATACGTGTTGACGCCTCCACAAACAAGTTGCACAGAGCTGCTCACATTGTCAGCCACTCAGAGACACCCTGACATGGCACATGCCACATGATATGTGCCCCCACACAGACTTGCATAGAAATACTGCTGTTACCAGGCCCACAAAGACATCCTGACATGCAGACCCTCATGGTCACACTGTTATGCTTCACACACTGTCACAGTTCTTTTTCAACATTCTAGAAATGTTTATGGATCAAATTCTGTGCCCAGCACATATGCTGTCATACTGCCTCACAGATCACCCCAAGTGGCGCACACTCACGCAAACACAACCCCTCACGTTTCCTCAGCACGTGCTATCACACACACACTTCCACACCCTCTCATACAGTCACCTGTGCCCTGTCCTTCTCAGCCACCTGGTGTCACACACCCCCTCTCACACAACCTCACTCTCACAGTCACAACCAGGCGGTGTGATCAGCCACTCCCACACTGTCTCTCACCAGGATATGTGGATACACATGCCGTCTCATACAACCTGGATGCTGTCACATGCAGTTTCATGTCTACTGTTACAATCCCACATCATAGCCCACAGTTGTGGAGTGCCAGATATGCCCCATCTCACTCACACAGTCATACATTGCTGCCATACACTCCCTCAAAAAGTCGTAGACACTGATACACACCCCACCTACCACTGCTCTTTATTCAGTCCCACACAAACTCACACCCCCAGTTTCAGGACTTCGGTGGTTTTATTTTACAAAAGCTTTGATGGTCCAGGCCAGGGGGTGTCTGGGGCCCAGAAGGTGGGTTGTATAGATTGCTGGCTACGAGAGGAGAGGGACACTACCCCTACCCCGAGGCCATGTTCTGTGCTCTCATGAGCTGAGTGGAGCCACCACAGTGGTGGTGGTGGTGGGAGGCGTGGGGCCTGTGGGGAAGGAGCCTGTGGGTGAACCCAGCAGGGGTCCCGGGAAAGGCATGAGGTGGCTAACAGGCCCTGACAGCACCACGGGGCCGAGGCCTTGGTAGAGATGGGCAGCACTGGGGGGGCCCAGTGTCAAGCCTGAGGCCACCTCCCCACAATTCCCACTGCCGCTGCCCCCAGCCACCACCATGAAGCCGCCAGCTGGTCCTTCAGCTGCTCCTGTACCTCCCAGACTTGACCCCCGTTTCTTTTTCCCTTTTCCAGATGCCTTGCGGTTTCGAGTCTGAATACCATCCTTCCTCATGGTCAGTGGTCGGTTCACCTGCAGAAAGGGAGGCCATGGGTGTTTCCCAACTCCAGACCTTTGCCTCTGTGTCTTGACCAGGGACACCCTCTCCACCCCACTTCTTAAGAATAGGGAATTGGTTCAAGGACTAGGGGAGCATGCCCAGGGTTTGGCACAGGTATTGTCCTAGGGAATCCCAAAGTCGTGAGGCCCTGAGCTTGGGAAAGCCTCCAAGGCTAATAAGAGCTGTCCCCTGTCTAGAGCAGGGGAGTGGAAGTTAGCTGATGGCTGGAGGAGAGGAGGAAGGAGACAGAGATGGAGGAGGGAGACAGGAGCAAGAAGGAGGGATAAGAGAGGGAGTGGAAGGGAGAAAGGAGATGAAGGATTGGAGGAGGAGGGGTGGGGATAGTGGAGGGGGAATGGAGGAGGAGAGCATGAGAATAACAGATGGAGAAGAGAAAAAGGAGAAGAGAGGGAGGGTTACGAGGGGAAGTGAGTTTGGGGTGAAACAGGAGCATGAGGAGGAGGGAAGCATGGTGTGGGACTGGGGAGAAGAGGAGGGGGCAGGGAGCACCTGGTGTAGCTTGTAGTAGAGGCCGCAGGCATTGCACACAGGATCCCCACTGGCATTTCTCCGCCACAGTGTGGTGGTGGTTGTCTGGCAGTTGGTGCACTGGGTACCTGCCCGTTTGCTAACAATCTGAGGGAAGAGAGAACGTGGGGATCAGTGCACTGAGGGGTAGAGGGCCAAGAGGTGAGGGTCAGCTTGAAGGCAGGGCTTCCTCTACAGGGCGGGGACTGTGGGTTCTGTATGGGATGAGGACAGGGCCTCCTGGCTGGGATAAGGGTTTTTGGTATTGTGTGGAGGACTACATCAGTGGTTCCCAACTTTGGCCAAACCTTGGAATCACTTGGGGAGTTAAAAATAATGCTGATGCCCAGGCAGCACCCCAGAGCTATTAAATCAATACATCTAGGATAGGGCCCCAGGCCCCAGAGGTTTTGAAGTGCCCCAAGGTCATCCCAGTGTGAAGCTGAGGATGAAAACTGCGGTGCAGGGAGGGGATGTGGTTCCTGCTTGCAGCCTATAAGGGCAGGTTGAGGATAGGCATTCCTGTACAAAGCTGGGTTCCTGTATGGATGGGGAAGGGGTGGTGGGAGTTCTTGTAGAGCATGAAGACAGGGCTTCTGTATGCTATGAGGACAGGGATCCCTGTGCAGAGTGAGAACAGCAGGTCCTGGGTAAGGGGAGGCAGGTCTGGGGTCTTACCAGGCGCTTCTTGGGCCGGATGAGGGGCCTGTTCTGCCCATTCATCTTGTGATAGAGGCCACAGGCGTTGCACAGGTAGTGGCCTGTCCTGTCCCGCCGCCAGAGTGGAGTGGCTGTGGCTCCGCAGTTCACACACTCCCTGGCCTCTGGTGGGGTGGAGAGAGGTGAAGGGGGAGCCAGGCTCAGCTCAGCTTTGTCTTGGACTCCCCCTTCCCCCACCTCAACCTCCCTGTCCCTTTTTGAGGACCTCACCACAGGGGGCCAGGGGCAGGGTTCCACGAAGTTTGGGGGAGGGATAGGCCGCTGGATTGAGGGGGCTCCCAGTGGGAGAAAAGAAGGTACTGGAAAAGTCAGGGCCTCCATAGGCACTGCTGGAAACAGGGATTGATGAAGGCAGTGCAGGCCCCAGCGTCAAGAGGTCCGGACTCAGCCGCTCTGTCTTTAAGGTCTCCAGGAAGCTGCTGCCACCTTTCCCATCTGGATCTTCTGGAGCCTGGGGTGGGGAGTCCTCACGGGTAGGGCACACAGTCGAGGCAGGGTAGAGCCCGGTCTTGCCATAGGCCCAGCTGGCGTAGGGTGAGCCCCCTGGGATCCCCTCCATACAGTTGAGCAATGGGTAGACCTGAAAGACTATTGGGGGGTGGGTATAGGAGGGAAGGAGGAAAAAAGAGAACAGTCTAAAGCCATTCTGCTTTCAGGGTGCTGTGGTGCCCAACAGCCCCAACACAGTGGCCAAGTTTCTAGAACAAGTGACTAGAACAGCTGCTGGCCATTGGGTGACTCTTGGATCCTGAGCCCCACTGGTCACTTGGGCAACTCCAGTAACCTACACCCATTTCCAAATGGGCTTTGAGGATGACTGTTGGGATTTGGAGCCTGATGGATCACTTGACAACTAGGGCTACCACCACCTTCTTCCAACGTTGCTTCCCAATATGGCTACCCCAATACGGCAGGTTGAGGAGCTTTGGCTTTCCCAGGTCTAGACTTAACTAGGGGAAGTGGTCAGCACAGCCATGTGAAGGCTTCCAGCTATTTTCAAGATGACCTCCTAGTGGGATTCTGCCCTAGCTAAGGGTCTCCATGGCAACCCCAACAGCATGGAGCTGGTGCTAAGACAGCCACCCAGAGGAGTTACCTGGGGAGTGTCTGTAGGCCTCAGCATCCCTGTAGTAGGCCAGTGCGGCAGCTGCAGCCGTGGCGGTGCTGGGGGCAGTGGAGGAGGCTGCTGCATCCAAGCCCTCAGGCCCAGAAGGGAAGAAGACCCCCGACTCTGGTGGCGAGGACACCAGGGCAGGGTCCACAAACTGGGGCAAGGGCTCAGAGGTCCCCAGGGCCCCCAGGCTAGAGAACTCCATGGGGCCTCTGGGGTTTGACCTGTGAGGACAGGAGGGGTACTCAGACACAGAAACCCTCCTCTGCTCCCCTCTCCACTCCCCTCCTCTTCCCTCCTTTCTCCCTACTCCTGCTCCGTCCCTCAGTCTCCATGTCTCTCCTTTCCACCTCCCTAGTAGCCTCCTCCTCCTTCTCTCCTCTCCCCTCCTCTTTCTCTCTCTCCTCCCTTCCCACTCCTTCATCCTTCCCTCATTTTCCTCTCCCTCCTCTCACTCTCCATCCTCCCCCTCCTTCCTTCTTCTCCACCCTCCTCCCCTTCTTGCCCCATTTGTCTTTCTTCTCCTCCCTGCCTCCTCTTCCTTCTCCCTTCCATCTCTTCCTTCTCTCACTCAACTTCCCTTCTATCTCCTCCTCTCCTCTTCCCCCTATTCTTCCTCTTTCCACTCCCCCTTCGTCCCCCTTCCCTCCCTCCTCCCTCTTCTTCCCCTCCTCCTCTTCCTCTCCCATTCCCCTTCCTCCTCTCTCCCTGGTCCCCCTTCTGCTCCTCTCCCCTCTTCTTTTCTCAGCCACATTCTCTCCCTCTTCCCTTTTCTATATCTCCTCCTCCACTCCTCTTTCCTCCCCATCCTCCTCTTCTCTTCTCCTCTCATCTTTTCCCCTTCCCTCTTCTCTCCCCTCCTCCTTTTTCTTCATCCTCCTCTCCCTCCCTTTCTGCTCATCTCTTTCTCCCTCTCTTCATTTTTTCTTTTTCTCCACCACTTCCTCCTCTTCTCCTCCTGCCCCATCCCCCCTCCCTGCTCCCTCTAGAGGAGTCTGAGGGGCTGGGCTGGAGTGCAGAACCAGAGTCCCTTGAACCCGTTAGTCACCCCTCAGGACCTTGGGGTTCACCCTCCTGTGTGCTCCCCAACTTCATCCCTATCTGTTGCATCTTGACTTCTGACTCTAAGAAACCCCATGGTTTCCGGCTTGACTCACCCCCCCCCCATTGGGTCTGCAGACAGAGGGCCCCCTCAGTTCCTCTCTGCTCCCTGGCGGGGGCGGGGGGGGGGTGGTGAGGGGAGGTCAGTACCTCTCACTGCTTATCTCTGCCATCCCCGCCCAACTTTTGAAATCACCCGAAGGCCACTGGCTTCCTCTGAGGAGGGGGACAGGTGGGAGATGTTCCCTCTACCCACACCCTCTCCCCTGGGGAGGTCTGCCATACTTCTGCTTTTGGGTTCCTTCAGTCCCCACCATCCCCAGGCCTCAGTTTCCCCATTTGCCAGATAGGAGGTAGTGACGGGCCGAGCTCAGACCTATGAGATGGCAGCTTGGTCTCTGCCCTTTTGCCTCTGTTCTTCCCTGTGTGTGTCTTTGTCTCTACCTCTCTGTCTCCCTGCGTCTCTTTTTCCCTGACACTCTGTTTTTTCTGAAGTCTGGCTCTCTGTATTTCTCTCTCATTTTTCTATGCTACCATGATGTATCTTGCCCTCTCTTTATGTGCTTTTTTGAATGTCTAATTTGTTTCCCCTCCATTTCTCTGTCTTTCCATGTCTGTCTCTTTGATTATCTCTCTCTGTCTTTATCTCTCTTTTTTTCTCTTTCTGTTTCTCTTCTCTCTCCCTCTCTACTTATATCTCTCTGAACATCTCTACATCTCTCCCACTCTGTCTCTTTCTGCTTGTTTGTCTCTTCCCTCTCTCTTTCTCTGGGCACTCTGGCCTTATTTCCATGTCTCTCTTACTATTCCCATATCCCTGACCATACCCCACTGCACACAGTCCTGGATAAGGAGCCAGGAAACCTACCCCTGCCCCTGACTTGCCCTGTGAATCTGAAGGCCTCAGTTTCCTTGTCTCTAGAGTTGAGTGACAGAGATAGAGTAGAAAGCCATCTTCAAACCTACCTTTCCATCTCTTCCCGCTCTGTCTCTCCATGATTCTTTCTGTCTGTGAGTAGATCTCTCTCTGTGTTCCTGTCTCATTCTCCTTTTCTCTCCCTGGGTCTCCCTCTCTCTCCTGTCTCTCTTACTCTTTCTTTGAGTTGCTTTCTGTTTCTCCTTTCTCTCTCTTCATGTCTCTGTCTCTTTTTCTCCCCCGCTCTCTCTGTCTCCCTGTGTGTGTCCTGCTCTTTTTGTTTCTAGCACCTCTCTTCCTTTACCCCCTCATCCTTACCTCACTCCCCATAATCTCCCTCCAGCCCCACTGCACCCCCGAGCTCCTGTCCCTGCACCTCACACCTTGCTGGGTCTGGGGCTGCCCACCCCTCCCATGGCAGGGACCCAGCCCCCCCACCCCCAGTTATCACTCTCCGGACAGAGATAAAGTTTATCTCGAGGCTGGGGGATATGAAAGCTTCTTATCAGCTGCCCCACTAGAGTAAGTGCTGCCCCAACGGCGGCAAGCAGCAGGCTGGTACCCTCAACTCTCCCTCGACCCAGCCCCTCACCCCAGGTAACATCCCTATCCCAGCCCTCAAGGGAGGGTCCCTCAGGACCGATGGGAGCAGAGATCGGGTCTGGGGGCAGATGGGTCTCAGAAAGGTTTGAGGTAGAGTTTGAGGGCCAGCTAGGGGGTTGAAAAGTCAGGAAGGGGTTTGGGGTATAGCTATGGAGTTTGGGGGAAGCAGATACGGGGTTTAAGGAGCAGAGACAACCTTGAAAGGTCATATTTTGGGATCAAAAATAGGTTAGGTAAGCAGAGACAAGGTTGGGGATCAGAGATAAAGTTGAGAAGTTAAAGATGTAGTTTGGGGCTCAGAGATGGATTCTGAAGGTCGTGGCAAATTTTGGGGGTCTAAGGGTTTTGCTGGAGCAGAGATGGAGTTTAGGGGTCAAAGATGGATTTGGACAGGCAGAAATGTGTCTGATGATTAGAGATGGGTTATGAGAACACAGGAGGAGTTTGAGAACCGAGATGGAGGGGAGAAATATTTGGGGCTAGAGAAGAGATTTGGGGGACAGAGACATATTTTGGAGCTGAGATGGGGTTTAGGGAAGGCAGACATGAGGATTCATTTGGCAGAATGATATGGAGGAGTAGACTTGGCGTTTGGAGTGACAGAGACATTTCGGTGCACAGACAAGGAGTTGAGGGAGAGAAATGGTTTGGGGGGGTCAGAGAGAAGTCACAGGGAACAAATATGGGTTTGAGAGGCAGAGAGGGGGTAAGAGGATGGAGCTAGAGTTTGGCAGGCCAGAGACTGGTTTCGGGGGTCAGAGAGAGAATTTGGGGCAGAGATAAAGATGTGGAACAGACAAGGGCTTGGGGAGCAGACAGGTGTGAGGGAGCAAAAATGAGCTTTTGGAGAGAACTTGGAAACAGACAACTTCAGATGAGTGAGAGTCAGATTCGGGACAAAGATAGGATTTGGGGGGATGAAGGCATGTTTAGGGGGCAGAGATGGGGTATGGGGAGCAGAGTTAAGGGATCCGGGGAACGTAGATATCTTGGAAGGAGTTGATGGGAGTCAGAGCGGAGAGAGGTGGGGTTTAGGGGGTATATTTGGGCTAGAGATGAGGGTTAGAAAGACAGAGATGGTCTGGAGGAGCTGTCAAGGAATTCAGGGGTGGTAGACACTTTGGAGACCAAAGGTGGGTTGGGGAGCTGGAGCAGGCCAGGGGAGTAGCCTTAAGATAAGGGGCAGTAGGCCCAGAGTTTGCCTTGCTGGGGGCTCTTGGGGAGCTGAGACTGACCTGGGCTGGTTGGTGCGGAGGGTTCAGCTGCTTTAGGGATGTGGCGAGCTCAGTGTGATCCCAGGGGGTGTCCTGGCTGGCCTTGGCCTTTGAGGCTCCCTTCCTCCTTCCCTCCCTCCCTCCCCTCTCCCTCCTCCCTCCTCCCCAGGGAGTGGCTGGTGCCCCAGTGGGTGGGGCGGGCTAGGGGAGGGGGCGGGCCCCCTGCTGGTGGGGCACCTCTTGGGCAGTGGGGAGCCTTTCTCCCACCCACCTGCCCACACTGTGGATTCTTGGACCCTGTTTGACTTGGGCTCCTGTGGACTTCAGTGTCCAACCAAACAAAATGGGCTGAGGCCAAGCTAAAATGAAAATAGCATATATGATTTCATGACTCCACTGGGCTATTCAGTGAGTGCTTGTAAAGCCCCTACTGTGTGCTGGGCCAGGTGCAGGGTGCAGGCTGGGCTCTTATGTATTTGAGTCTTTCTGGCCACAGGGAGAGGAGGGATGTGACTATACCCATTTTGCAGGTGAGAAGAATGAGGCTCAAAGAAGTTCGGTGAGATTTGAACTAGAGCCCATGGGACATCTTGACGACCCAGGCTCAGCCCCAGGGCCAGGCCAGGGCTGGCGCGAAAGGCAGGGGCACAGTCACTCAGCACCCCACTGGGGCTTACGCCAGCTCCGGCCTGCCCTGGGGCAGCAGATAAGTCTTATCAGATGGAGGCCACGGTGGCTGTTGGCTCCGCGGTAACTGGCTGTCTTGGGATGGGGGGCGGGGCTGGGGGGCACCCAGGGACAGTGGCCTCAACTTCTTGCCCGCCATGCTTCTTTGGAGGCGGGAAACAGATGGGACCAGGGGTTGGTTCCTCTGTGGGTCCTTGAGGAGTGGGATAGAGTCAGGGAAGGGAAGGAGAATTGAAGGGATAGAGAAGGGAGAGAGGCAGAGAGACAGACAGAAACAGAGATAGATGGAAGTGGAGAGATACAAAGAGATAAACAGAGACAGAAAGAGACACAGAGCTGGAAGGAGGCAGAGGGCACAGAAAGAAAAGAGAGACACAGTTAAAGACAGATACAGAGAGAGGCAAAGAGAATGGAGACAGACGGAGATGGACAGAAGGGGAAAGATAAAGCCTGAAAATGACAGAAGCCAAGGACAGGTGTGGAGAAACTGAGGAGGGAGACAAAGATGATGTTGTAGAGAGGGGGACAGAGACAGATATTCAGAGTCCAAGAGGAAGTCCATGAGACCCCAGGTGGGAGGTGGTGCTGGGGTGGGTGGAATGGGGGGGTTTGGATTGATGTGGACCCATGTGGCCTGTGGCTCTGCCCTCAACCTGCTGAGAGGGACCTCCAGAGAGTTGCTGGGCCTCTGCACCTCAGTCCCCACCTTCTTTCCCTGTCCTGCCTCCCCCCCATAGTAACAACAGTGACAACAACCAGTGTCTGATGCTGCCATAGACCATACCAGGCCTGTTCTGAGCACTTTCTCTGTGTGAAATCATTGGACGTACACGCACACAGTAGGTGTCCAACTTGGGTCCCCATAAGGCAGGTGTAAGACTACCCAGTCTTGGCCCCAGGACTCCCTGGGATAGGGAGCTCTCCTGACCACCCATTCTACAGATGGGAAGACAGAGACCCACCAAGGCAGAGGGCCAGGATGAGGCCCTGAGTCAGTGGAGTCTGCTCACCCACGGACCCACTCCAGAGGGAGTTTACCATCCTCCTCTTACCCTCCTTGGGCCTCAGTGTCCTTATATACAAAATGGGAGATTTGAGGAGGGAAGAGAGCAAGGCCATGACTTTGCAATTATTGAGCTCCTGCTGTGTGCCACGCCCACTGCCAAGCTCTCATCAGTAAGAACAAGGACAAAGACTTCCAACTTCAGTGGCAGTGGTTTCAGGACATCCACTCTGGAGCTAGCCCACCCTCATTTATAGACCGCCCTAACCACCCTGTGACCATGTGGCTTTGGGCAAGTTACATTCCCCTCTGGACCTCAGTTCCTCATCTGTAAAGTTGGGGTAATAATAGTGGCTACTCCATAGGGTGATTGGGGCGACTAAATGAGATTTAATCCAGTAAGTGATTTTAACTCACTTGAATCTGAAATCTCAATAAATGTTATGTATTGTTATTTATTTACTGAGTGCCTACTGTATACGAGGGCTAGTACTGGCCCTTTTTTACTAGCACTACTACTAATTCTAGTACTAATGCTTATAACATGCTGACACCAACACCAATACTAAGTCTAGTTACTAATACTAATATTAGTTCTAATATTATTAGATACTAGCACCAATACTAATTTTAATAGTGATAGTCATGCTAATAACTAATTCTAATCTAACACCAGAACTATTATTAATAGTGATACCAATTCTAAAACTAAGAATTGTTCATTGAATTCTGTCAACAACAATAATGATGACAGTGCTGATACTAATTCTGATACTGATACTTTAACCAGCACTAATATTACATTAGTAGCAACAGCAGCATTGTTTGCTGAGCCACCCCAGGCACTGTGCTAAGTGCTCTCCATGCATGATTTTATCCCATTCTCACCAGGTCCTTGTGATGTAAGTGTGCATAATTGCCCCCATCTCCCAGGCTGGGAGTAGGCGCAGAGAAATGAAGATGTTCATCCAAGGCCCTGGGTTCTTGTCTCAGCTCTGACACTGATTTGCTGCGTGATTCCTAGGCAAGCCACCCTCTGAACCTTGGTTTCTTTGCCTGGAAAATGGGTACAAGCACAGAACCTACATAGAATGTTGTTGAGCAGCCACTGAACACAGGGCGTGCCTGGCACACCATAAATGGTGAACTCTGTAATGGTAACCCTCCTCATTGTTATTATTAGAAACCACGGGTGCAATGTCCGAGCGAGGTAGAGAAATCTGTCCTCCTCTGCAAGGGCAGGCTGGAGGCATATCTCAGACAAGGGTTTGGCCGCTGGACTCACAGGCCATTTCTTCATAACTAGAGCAGAAAGAGGGCTCAGGAAGGGAAGTAAAGAGTGGAGGGGGAGTGGGGGCCTCAGAACCCTGCCTCCATCAAGAGCCAAAACCCTGAGGCTCTGAGGCCAGGCCTCACCCCATTCCCTCCCCCATCCCGGTGGAGGGGGCACAGGCCCAGAAGTCTGCGGCGACAGTTCAGCCAGCAGGGAGGCAGCTGGGAGTGGGCAGATAAGGGAATCGGCGGGGCCAGGCCAGGCTTTGGGGGAGACCGACGAGGGCGCGGGAGGGGTGGGGGTGGGGTGTCTGGGTCAGCGTCCTCTCTGTCAGGCCTCCATTTGAGACTCAGCCCCGACAGTCCTCTCTTCCGGGAAGCCTTCCCTGACTGGTTCCCTCCCTCCCAGCATCTTCTGGTGTTCCAGAGCTTGGTCCAAGCCCATGGTATTTGGACTGTTTGTGCCTGTACCAGACTATGGAGTCCACCAGGTCTGGGAAGGAGCCCGAGTTCCCTCAGTGTCAATAGCCCTGAGAGAAACGTCCACCAAACCCGGCTAAGGAGTCAAACATGTGCCTCAGAACCAAATTGTTTTGTTTTTTAAAAGAAAAGTATAAAGGATACTATGATGAGTATTCCCCTTTGTCAAAACACATATTTTGCCTTATTTACTTCAGATTCTTTTTAAAAGAAATGTAATATTACAGGTACAGTTGTAGTCCTTGCACCAATTCCATTCCCTTCTCTCTTTCCACTACCTTGAGTTTGGTGTTTATCTTTTTCATGAGTATTTTTATTTCATTGCTACATATATGTGTACCCACAAACAACACATGATACTGGGGGTTTTGGACCTGTTTTTGAATTTAATATAAATGGAATCATATAGTGTATGCCTCTTTTGTTCCACATACGGTCTGTGATATTCAACCAGGTTGTTGTGTGTTCAATAGTTCATGCTTTTTTTATTGAGATGTAATTCACATACCATAAAATTTGCCTTTTTAAAGTGTACATTTCAGTGGTTACTCTATTCACAAGGTTGTGCAACCATCACCACTATCCAATTCCAGAACATTTTCATTGCCCCAAAAAGAAGCCCTGTACCCATTAATAGTCAGTCCCCATTGCATTTCTGCCTCCCCCAAATCCCTGGCAACTGCTAATCTACTTTCTGTCTCATAGATTTGGCTATTCTGGACATTTCATATAAATGGAGTCATACAATACGTGGCCTTTTGTGACTGGCTTCTTCCACTTTACATAAAGTTTTCAAGGTTTATTCATGTTGTAGCATGGATCTAAGTACTTCATTCCTTTTTATGGCTGAATAATATTCCAGTGTATGAACATTCTACATTATGCTTGTCCATCCATTCGATTAATGAACATTTTTGGCTATCATGAATAATGCTGCTATGAACATTCATGTAAAAGTTTTTATGTGGACCTATGTTTTCAGTTCTCTTGGATATATATTTAGAAATGGAATTGTGGGGTCATATGGTAATTCTGTGTTTAACTTTTTGAGGAACTGCAAAAGTGTTCTCCACAGCAGCTGTATAAGCCTTCCAATTTATGCACATTCTCTCCAACACTTGATGTTGTCCCTCTTTTCGATTCTAGCCATCCTAGTGGGTGTGATGTGGTGTCTCATTGTGGTTTTGATCTGCATTCCCCTAATGACTGCTAATGTTGAACATCTTTTCATGTGCTTTTGTGGCCATTTGTATATCTTCTTTAGAGAAATGTCTATTCAAATCCTTTACCCTTTTTTGATTCCCTTATTTGTGTTTTTATTGTTGTGAGGTAAGAGTTCTTCATATAATCGCTATGCTAGACTTGTATAGATATGTGATTTGCAAATTTTTTCTCCTATTTGTGAGCTGTCTCTTCATTTTCTTGAGAATGTCTTTTAAAGTGCAAAAGCTTTTAGTTTTGATGAAGTCCAATTTATCTTTTTTTTTATTTGTTTGCTTGTGTTTTAGATGTCATATCTAAGAAACCATTGCCTCATCCAAGGTCATGAAGATTTCTGCC